AACTTTCGGGCCGAAATTGTAAGGGCCGGGGTGGTTCAGCATTTTGAAGGAAAAAATTATATTTTTTGATTAGGCTAGTTTCCCCACAATGAATGTACCTACATGCAATTTTACTGGATTCTGACCCCCATATCCCTTTTAAAGGGGCGTAGTGGCAAATATTGTAAAAATTTGAATTATCACAACTTTTTGGCCGAAATTGTAAGGGCCGGGGTGGTTCAGCATTTTGAAGGAAAAAATTATATTTTTTGATTAGGCTAGTTTCCCCACAATGAATGTACCTACATGCAATTAGATGGATCCTGACCCCCATATCCCTTTGAAAGGGGCGTAGTGGCAAATATTGTAAAAATTTGAATTATCACAACTTTCGGGCCGAAATTGTAAGGGCCGGGGTGGTTCAGCATTTTGGAGGAAAATATTTTTTTTTTTTTAGGTTAGTTTCCACACAATAAATGTCCATACATGCCATTAGATGGATCCTGACCCCCATATCCCTTTGAAAGGGGCGTAGTGGCAAATATTGTAAAAATTTGAATTATCACAACTTTCGGGCCGAAATTGTAAGGGCCGGGGTGGTTCAGCATTTTGAAGGAAAAAATTATATTTTTTGATTAGGCTAGTTTCCCCACAATGAATGTACCTACATGCAATTAAATGGATCCTGACCCCCATATCCCTGTAAAAGGGGCGTAGCGGCAAATATTGTGATAATTTGAATAAACACCAATTTCAGGCCGAAATGGTAAGGGCCGGTGTGGTTCAGCATTTTGGAGGAAAATATTATATTTTTTTTAATAGGCTAGTTTCCCCACAATGAATGTCATACATGCCATTAGATGGATCCTGACCCCCATATCCCTTTGAAAGGGGCATAGGGGCAAATATTGTGATAATTTGAATAAACACTAATTTCAGGCCGAAATGGTAAGGGCCGATGTGGTTTAGCATTTTGAAGGAAAAAATTATATTTTTTTTAATAGGCTAGTTTCCCCACAATGAATGTCCATCCATGCCATTAGATGGATCCTGACCCCCATATCCCTTTGAAAGGGGCATAGGGGCAAATATTGTGATAATTTGAATAAACACCAATTTCAGGCCGAAATGGTAAGGGCCGATGTGGTTCAGCATTTTGGGGGAAAATATTATGTTTTTTGAATAGGCTAGTTTCCCCACAATGAATGTACATACATGCAATTAAATGGATCCTGACCCCCATATCCCTTTGAAAGGGGCGTAGTGGCAACTATTGTAAAAATTTGAATTATCACAACTTTCGGGCCGAAATTGGAAGGGCCGGGGTGGTTCAGGATTTTGGAGGAAAATATTATTTTTTTTGAATAGGCTAGTTTCCCCACAATGAATGTACCTACATGCAATTAAATGGATCCTGACCCCTATATCCCTTTGAAAGGGGCGTAGTGGCAAATATTGTGATAATTTGAATAAACACCAATTTCAGGCCGAAATGGTTAAGGCCTGGGTGGTTCAGCATTTTGGAGGAAAATATTATTTTTTTTTTAATAGGCTAGTTTCCCCACAATGAATGTACCTACATGCAATTAAATGGATTCTGACCCCCATATCCCTTCGAAAGGGACGTAGTGGCAAATATTGTAAAAATTTGAATTATCACAACTTTCGGGCCGAAATTGTAAGGGCCAGGGTGGTTCAGCATTTTGGAGGAAAATATTATTTTTTTTGAATAGGCTAGTTTCCCCACAATGAATGTACCTACATGCAATTTAATGGATTCTGACCCCCATATCCCTTTGAAAGGGGCGTAGTGGCAAATATTGTAAAAATTAGAATTATCACAACTTTCGGGCCGAAATTGGAAGGGCCGGGGTGGTTCAGCATTTTGAAGGAAAAAATTATATTTTGTGATTAGGCTAGTTTCTCCACAATGAATGTCCATACATGCCATTAGATGGATCCTGACCCCCATATCCCTTTGAAAGGGGCATAGGGGCAAATATTGTGATAATTTGAATAAACACCAATTTCAGGCCGAAATGGTAACGGCCGATGTTGTTCAGCATTTTGAAGGAAAAAATTATATTTTTTTTAATAGGCTAGTTTCCCCACAATGAATGTCCATCCATGCCATTAGATGGATCCTGACCCCCATATCCCTTTGAAAGGGGCATAGGGGCAAATATTGTGATAATTTGAATAAACACCAATTTCAGGCCGAAATGGTAAGGGCCGATGTGGTTCAGCATTTTGGAGGAAAATATTATGTTTTTTGAATAGGCTAGTTTCCCCACAATGAATGTACATACATGCAATTAAATGGATCCTGACCCCAATATCCCTTTGAAAGGGGCGTAGTGGCAACTATTGTAAAAATTTGAATTATCACAACTTTCGGGCCGAAATTGGAAGGGCCGGGGTGGTTCAGGATTTTGGAGGAAAATATTGTGTTTTTTTTAATAGGCTAGTTTCCCCACAATGAATGTCCATACATGCAATTAAAAGGATCCTGACCCCCATATCCCTTTGAAAGGGGCGTAGTGGCAAATATTGTGATAATTTGAATAAACACCAATTTCAGGCCGAAATGGTTAAGGCCTGGGTGGTTCAGCATTTTGGAGGAAAATATTATTTTTTTTTAATAGGCTAGTTTCCCCACAATGAATGTACCTACATGCAATTAAATGGATTCTGACCCCCATATCCCTTCGAAAGGGACGTAGTGGCAAATATTGTAAAAATTTGAATTATCACAACTTTCGGGCCGAAATTGTAAGGGCCAGGGTGGTTCAGCATTTTGGAGGAAAATATTTTTTTTTTTGAATAGGCTAGTTTCCCCACAATGAATGTACCTACATGCAATTAAATGGATCCTGACCCCCATATCCCTTTGAAAGGGGCGTAGTGGCAAATATTGTGATAATTCGAATAAACACCAATTTCAGGCCGAAATGGTTAAGGCCTGGGTGGTTCAGCATTTTGGAGGAAAATATTTTTTTTTTTTAATAGGCTAGTTTCCCCACAATGAATGTACCTACATGCAATTAAATGGATTCTGACCCCCATATCCCTTCGAAAGGGACGTAGTGGCAAATATTGTAAAAATTTGAATTATCACAACTTTCGGGCCGAAATTGTAAGGGCCAGGGTGGTTCAGCATTTTGGAGGAAAATATTTTTTTTTTTGAATAGGCTAGTTTCCCCACAATGAATGTACCTACATGCAATTTAATGGATTCTGACCCCCATATCCCTTTGAAAGGGGCGTAGTGGCAAATATTGTAAAAATTAGAATTATCACAACTTTCGGGCCGAAATTGGAAGGGCCGGGGTGGTTCAGCATTTTGAAGGAAAAAATTATATTTTTTGATTAGGCTAGTTTCCCCACAATGAATCTACATACATGCCATTAGATGGATCCTGACCCCCATATCCCTTTGAAAGGGGCGTAGGGGCAAATATTGTGATAATTTGAATAAACACCAATTTCAGGCCGAAATGGTAAGGGCAGGGGTGGTTCAGCATTTTGGAGGAAAATATTATATTTTTTGAATAGGCTAGTTTCCCCACAATGAATGTACATACATGCCATTAAATGGATCCTGACCCCCATAAAATTGGAAGGGCCGAAATGGCCGAAATGGTAAGGGCCGGGGTGGTTCAGCATTTTGGAGGAAAATATAATTTTTATGCCTCCGCCACCGAAGGTTGTGCCGGAGGCATCATGTTTTCGGGTTGTCCGTCCGTACGTCCGTACGTCCGTACGTCCGTCCCGTTTGACCGTTATCACAATATCTCAAGAACCATTTAAGATTGAAACTTAAGACTCGGGAATAGTATTTATCACCTTAGGAAGACGATCTGATTAGATTTTGGAGTACGTAGGTCAAAGGTCACAGGTCACAGAGGTCAACTTATGAAATTCCTTGTATTGAGTTTGTTAGCGCGATATCTCAAGAACCATTTGAGATTTAAACTTCAAACTTAAGGATAGTATGTATCACCATAGGAAGACGATCTGATTAGATTTTGGAGCACGTATGTTAAAGGTCAAGGGTCACAGAGGTCAACTTATGAAATTCCATACATTGAGATTGTTATCATATGATATCTCAAGAACCACTTTAGATTTAAACTTCAAACTTAGTGATAGTGTGTATCACTATAGGAAAACAATCTGATTACATTTTGGAGCACGTAGGTCAAAGGTCAAGGGTCATAGAGGTCAACTTATGAAATTCCATACATTGAGATTGTTATCATAATATCTCAAGAACCACTGGAGATTTAAACTTCAAACTTAATGATAGTGTGTATCACCATAGGAAGACAATCTGATTAGATTTTGGAGCACGTAGGTCAAAGGTCAAGGGTCACAGAGGTCAATTTATGAAATTCCATACATTGAGATCGTTATCGCAATATCTCAAGAACCACTGGAGAATTTTCACTTCAAACTTAATGATAGTATGTATCACCATATCATAATTATCTCAAGAACCACTGGAGATTTAAACTTCAAACTTAATGATAGTGTGTATCACCATAGGAAGACAATCTGATTAGATTTTGGAGCACGTAGGTCAAAGGTCAAGGGTCACAGAGGTCAACTCATGAAATTCCATACATTGAGATTGTTATCATGATATCTCAAGAACCACTGGAGATTTAAACTCCAAACTTGTTTAAATTGCTCTATGGCGGAGGCATCATTTTCGACTGCGCGTAGTCAAAATTCCATCTAGTTTTTTTTAGAAATGCCAATGATGTACACTGCAATTTGTTATCATTCTTTCTTTTGACAGAGAGTTTAAATGTTATATTACCCATAGCAGGGCTCGACACTAACAGGTACCTTCAACACAGGGGTGCCCAAAATCTAGGTCATGACCCCAACATTTCAAACATTTTACATAGGGCTCATGCATTATAAAGACTCTGGTTAAATCTGGATCCCCTTCGAATAATTTTTGTTGATCTTTCAGTATAAACCTCAAATTCTTTTTTTTAAAGTGTGTCCTGATGAAATATGCCATGGGTAATGATTTTTCATTTGCACTTGTCTTTCTTACCCTGTCATATCTCTTACAGATTTGGACCACCAGAATTACCCATGGAAGTTTGTTTCCAGTCGACAGAAAAGAGTTTTTAGCATACTTAGTAAGTCTCTTTCAAAGTCACCTTTGATATTCATACTGCAAAAACATAATAAAAATATATAGAAGGAAATGAATATATATTATATAAGCAGTGGATTTGGAAAACTTTGACTATAAACAAATGTAAAACAAATGAAGAAAAACAAATATCAGAGATTACATTGACTATTTACATTGAAGCTAGATATCAAGAGGTAAGACTAAGATGATGATTCTTTTGTGATGTAGAGCTGTGTGAAGCATATTGTTAGTCATTTGAAAGAATATTGTTTCTCAAGAAATGTTTGCTATATCTCACTGTATCCTGCTTGTAGTAAGTCATAATTCAAATTTTCCAAAAAACAAAAACAAGTATCACTTGGATGATTAGATATCAGAGTGATGATGGTCTCTGTCCTGCGAATGTAGAAAAACAAGAATGTCCCATATATTTTGATCTACTTCAAAAGATTACGGCAATCAATGTGTAGGAATTGTATTTATTATTATTGATTATAAGGTATATGCAGTATATGTATTAAATTCTGTATCATTGTGTTTTTGTTTTTTCTTACAGAATAACCATGGACTTCCCAAGTACTACACTCTTGCCTTGATAAGCAAGTGCGTAAATGAAGAAGATGCAACCGTATTGTCTACATTACTTGGTGTTTCAGAAACGACTTCCAAGTTATCTGGGACAAAGATTAGTCTCTGGTTATTCATGTAAGTATCCTATCCCTATGTAAACTGTATTATTGGCGGCTTAAAGCCGGAAGGGATTTAATTCTGTGTTAAAGTGTAGGAGTAAATGCACTTCTGGCTCCATACAGATGTAATGTATGAAGACCGCAGATATTTAATGTGTTATAAGAATATAACTTGAGCTATGTATAAATGGCATATGCAGTGAAAAGCATTCTAATCATAATTATAATTTCCATCAAATTATCAGATTTTGATGCTTTTTAATTGTTTGATAGTGCATTGACATGTCCCTCCTCCCACCTTAGAATAGGTTAAGATTTAGTAAAACATTTTGTCATTACTTCTTGGGGAAAAGGCTGTTAATTGTGTGTATAAGTTGCACAAGCTTTGCTGGAAATGAAACAGTAGTGAACTTTAATTATCCTTTTGATGTTAACATCTGATATTTATGTTTTTGCATCCTATTCAGCCTTGGTCTTCTTATGTTCAGTCATATCATGCTCCTATGTGGTGTCTGTCATCCAACATTACTTTGGGATGCTGTGGACGCTTTCAACATTCCAAACATCCTCATGTACACTGTTGTCATGACAACTTTGTTTCTCAGTCTGCTGTGGCAAGTGGGTGTCGTATGGCAGGTACAGAAATATTAATCGCTTGAGTGTGAACTTCACAAAATAATTTGTGTATTTCATAAACACTCTGATGCCATAAATTTGAAATCTACGGGTTGGAAAGAAAAAAAGTACATGTCACTTCCAGGAATTGTTTAGACATGATGTATTAAAGGAGATGTCATTTGATGGAATTCTCATTTGTTAAAGATTGTATCATGGAATTAACATGAAACATTAAGTTTATAATCCATCAATCATATCGTCACTAAAAATAGGTATTGCATGAAGTTTTCACTGTTTTGACCATTTTTAGTGTTCAAAGTGTTTAAAGTTTTTTAAGGATTTTATTTTTGAACTAGAAAGACGTGTTTCCACAACATGAGTAATGAAATAATTTGCTCCCCCCCCCCCCTTCGTTTAAAATGAATTTGAATTTAAGGAAAATTATTGTTTGTACTGTAGTAGAAATATTTGACCTTATTAGAGTAACTTTTTCAAAGCTGATGTGGTCCAAACTTTTGTAATCATTAGGTTGCAATTTTTATGCCTGTTTTCAGCATCACTTTCTGTGTTTTATCTCAATAAGTATTTCAGGTTGTGGAGGGAAAATCGTCATCAGGAGCAGAGTGTGTCTCAGTTTTTATCCGTCCATAAGTCTTTTGGTAATCTCCTGAAGAAGTCTGTGCTCTATGTTCAAGAAGTGGAAGTCATTTTAAGAGGTTATACAATGTAAGTATCACAAGAGAATCAGTGATCAGTGTACTATCTTTATCTATAGACCCTATTCTCACTCAAAGCCTGATAAATCTTACAAAATAAGTGATTCTCACCTACGTGTACTGGGTATTTTTAATACGAATGTCATTGTCAATCAAAGAAAGTCAGAAAATGATAAAAAACTACCTCAGACATGTCAGCTCAGTGTAAACATTAGTAAACACTTCTGCAATAAAAATATCTATTCATGAGCACAAACATAATGTACTTTTTTAGTAGATATTGAATTAAGTTACCATATTTGGGATTGTAGTTCTCTGTATCTAAGATTATTTTTTTAAAAACAATATTAAAGCTAAAGACCAGTTATGGTCATGCCATTGCATTGTGAAAGAAACATTGTGAAATCGATCAGAAAAGGTTGATCATCTAGCATAGATGTACTGCAAGGTTCTGGAATCATCAAAATGATAAGAAATTTGGCCAAGTCTTCATAAAGTTAGAATCAATGTACACAGAAAGATGTATATGGGACTACACACACGTGCATGACACGTGCATTTGTATCCCTCAACAGGCGAGAGATACACTAATTTACCAAATATATCAATTAGTAGGCGGTTTCCAGTCAACATTTTTATCATCGTGTATTAGTCAAAACATATTCTTTCACATGATTGGTAATAAGAGCTTGCATTTCATTTTTTGAAATTGGGGCATTTCCAATACTGGTCTTTGCCTTTAATCTCATTTTAATGACATGTTTAACAGTGTAAAATATACTGTATAGTGTATGTTTGTAATTCATTGGGAAATTTAAAAAAATGTGCTCCTCTCCTAATTTAGGATGACACCATTCACCCCCATATCTCACCTGGAGAGGGGTAGCCAAACACAACTTCAATGCCCTGCCCTTAGACAGGCTATCTTCCAGGCTGCAAGAAACCAATTTATGTCTCTGAGGCAAGCCATGCTGTCAACCATAGCTGATAGTCCACTAAGAGATGAAGAACAGAGAGACTTAGAAGACGTCTATCTCGCTACCACGGATCTACAACACTTGGCTGGGGAACTATCAATTTTAACTGATGTAAGAAACAATCAAAGCCTTTCTCGAGTTTAGATAATACGACTAGAGTTTGAGAGGAACTGGCCTAAAGTAATTCTGAAGTTTTGATTAGGCAGTAGATTGGTTAAAACTTGCCGAAAATCAAATTCACACATTCAAGCACAACACACATGTGCACATGTGGGACTGAGTATTCTATTGCTTGAGTCTTGGTTGGGACAACTGGGTTACTTAATTTCCTTATCTGTCCTTGCTCATTACCCAGCGGTTATTCAAGTAATACTGTGTATGGTATCTATTTGTAGTCTTAAAGATCAACGTGTGTTTGGTTTGAGTTTGTTAACTTTCCAGTTATTTCTAAAACTAAAGCTTCTGAGTATTTTTATGTAGTTTATGTTGCCTGAATTTTAAGGGATCCGGTAACTTTGTCTCAGATTCTGAAACAAAATCCTGGGTTAAGCTCATGCTGCAATGATAATTATAAACCTTTAGGTCAGTCAGGAACCCCATGACTTTTACAACCCGATCGCATGTCTGATTATCAAGATATTTATGATTGGAAATTGAAACAAAATTTTGCGGTTTCCTATAGACCGTTTTCATAACACTATGGTCTGTTGGGGAAAACAAGTATGGTAAAACCGGTCACTCGAAGATTTTTACTCTTTTGAGGCACTTTTTGATCATTTTGAAGTGCAATTTTTTTAATGGCTTAAATATTACACCATATCACAGACACTTATAACATGTAGGGCCGTGCATCTCAGATTTAACATTGTAAAACGATGCCTTTAACAACCTTCAAATATTCAGGTTTTTATTTTAAGAGAGTTGAGAATTTTTATGTATTCTTAATGAAAAAATTATTTATTCTTAGATGTTCACCTCAAATGTGTTCAGTGATGGAACATTTACAATCAAGTCACGTGTATAACCTATAATCTACCATTCATTTCTTGCTCTTTTCAGGACTCTACAGGACCATACCCCACCTCTTATTTGAAGGTAAATATCATTAGTCTGAAATATTTTCATTACATGTGTACGAGTGTAGAGTAGAGTTCTTTTGAAATGTGCCATCTTTTTTATGTATACTTGTAGTTTGTAATGAGTAGATATCACATCTTTGTTGTATTAGTAGAATACAATTATAGATACAAAACAATGAAGCAAACATATTAGAAGGAAAAAAATTGATCTTGCAGCAAAATTTAAAAAATCATTGATTCTGCTCATAATTACCATGTACAAAACGATACATCAAGAAATAATTTTACTATATATCTGACCAAATTGTTGATATTCAAGAAAGTTCCTTGCAAATTCAATGTGAATTAATAGGTTGACAATAATCTATATTTCTGTCTGTTTTTCTTGTAGGCTATATCTAACTTATACAGTGATCAGTTATCTGAGTTTATCAGAAGACATCTCCTGTGTCTAAAGTCTGATCTATTAGCTGATTCTGCAGGTATGTCCACACAATTTTTTTGTTTTTTTTGTAGTGGAGTTGTTTATTTGAATGCCATGGTTATCATTTTGAAAGACAAGAACTTTTTCCAGAAAGAAAAAAGAGTTCTCCAGATGTACCTTGTTACACGATATAGACGTGTGAAATAGATATTCAGTTCATAAGGATGGTCTGGAAACTTTACTTATGTTTTCAAAAAGTATTTCAAATAGTGCTATGCCATGAACTGTAGATGAAGTAGTAACAACTTCTGATTTTTGTGTGTGTGTGAAATTAGAATCAGAATATATTGAACTTTTAAGGGCCTGAGTCAAGAGCCGTATGTATCTGAGAGAAGTTGGTATTAAGTATGTCTAACTTCAGACTCAAGATATATGATATCAAAAGATAGATATAGCACAAGTGAGTGTGGTTTGAACACAGCTACCGTAAATCTCTGTGTATAAGACGCACCTGTGTATAAGACGCACCCCCTGTAGATACTAATTTTGGCAGCAAGCCAGGTCCGTGTTAAAAAACCCACGCGGGAAGGACTTTCATTCAACTGCGAGGTGCAGTTGAATGTGTAAGATCATTAGTGTAAATTAAAAAACAGTAGAGGACCTAGGATAGAACCTTGTGGTAAGCCGTGTGTAATAGAAGAAAAATTGGAGGAATTATTGTTATTATAAACTACCGGTACATATTGAGATCTATCAGAAAGATTTCTTTCAAACCAAGATGACAGAAAAATTTGAGTGTTGTTCTAGTTTCCGAGTGGTGAGTCAACACACCAATTACTGAGCTTTTTTTTTGTACCTGTGTATAAGACGCACCCCCAGACTTCGAATTTTTTTTGGTGGCAAAACAGTGCGTCTTATACACAAAGATTTATGGTAACTCTTGTCATTCTTTGCATTGCCCATAGATGCAACCTCAAGCTCGCATTCACTACTTGACGCTAAGAGGAGGTTAGCTGAGCAAGATCTGACCACCCTGAAGAGCTCGTACAAGCTTCATCAGCCAATGACACCACTCCAATCGGACGTTGATCCCGAGGTCAAGATGCGTGGGACGGAAGAGATTTGGGGGCCCTCCGATGTCCTTCCTTCTGCAACTCGAGCTCTGAGATTGCATCTAGATGTCACTATGAAAAGGTAGAAGGTTGATGACTGTTTTTCTTTTAATAATAATAATAATAATAAAAATGTAACTTATAGGGCACTTACCACCGAAGTCTGTAAGTGCTTTTGCATAGGCTGATCAGGTGTCCATCACATTGATGACGATGATAATCTTTTTATGTACTTGACAGCTGAGAAAGCGAGAAAGCAAGTAAATATAGGCTTTCAGATCAAACTTGATCAAAGTCTGATTTGAAAGGGCACAAGTGCATCAACTTGTTTTTGAACCTGTGACCTTCCCCTACTAGACTTCTGCTCTCCCACTGAACCATCATGCCCCTACATAATGTATAAAGTGAGGTATTTCAGTATTTGATGTAGTGATAGAAATAGGCAACTATGATATGTTATCTCTCTCTCTCTCTGTAGATGTTGATTGTAATCAAATGATACATGAAAATATATCATATCTTATATCTATAAGAAAGTACATTCTTGTAGATTCCTTTTAATAGAGGTAGTTAGTGTCATTAAAAACAATTGCTCAGTGTGAAAACAGAATTCCAGATAAGAAAGAAATATTCTGTACCACTTTAGACCCTTCAGCTTAAACCAAACATAATTGCAATATGAGCTCAATAAACATGCACTTTGTTAACCTTCCAGTGCAATGCAGTTAGAAATGGGAACACGTAAGGAGGATGGCAAGTCCGACCTGGGAGACTCAGAGATACATGATCTTGAAGAGTTGCTCTCAGAGGTCAAAGGTCATTTGGAGGCATGCCAAACTTGTGTACATGAAGCCGAGACAGCCCTTGCCAAACTAACAGGTCGAGTGGAACCAGCAAAGCTGAAAGAACCTGGTAAGATTTGATCGCTCACTTTTATGAAAATAAATAAAATACTACACATATATGAGAGTGTCTTATATGGTCGCTAGATGGGGCCCATGTATTGTAATAATGAAATATAGATAAAGTGGCAGATATGCTTATGCAATATGGTCTTTTCCTTTTTGAAGAAAAATAATATGATGGAATATTTGGAGAAGTTTTGTTCTCTATTGCTAACTTTCAAAATGCATTCAGGAAAACAAACTATATCTCTTAGCTCTATGAATGTTACAGCACACAGCCCTCCCTCAAAATTTACTACATACCTGGTAAATAGAAATCAGTAGAAAGGGGGAAAATATGAAATTCTCGTATATGCCATGCAATTTCCTTTTGTTGTGATAGAATAATTTTAAAAAGTATTGATGTTTCCCTTCATTGTGTAATTATTATACAAAATAAGCTGTTTTTAGAATGTGCATTACAGTAATCTGTATCAATTTCAAAAGTTATGTGGTATTATGTATTTTAACATTTAGATGCAGTTTTCTCACCATTCTTCCTTCTATCTCTCTTCACTTTCTCCTCTTCCTTCCATTGTTTGCCCATCTCTCTTTATCCCTGTCTTCTTCTTGGCTTGATCTCTTCAGTAATGAGCAAGACAGAGACTGGGCAATTGAAAGCTGACATACCAACACCCCAGCATCTAGACTTCATATCGCCCAAGGACTCAGATATTGACTTCATTGAAGAGGAGGTGAGCATGACCTTTGTCCCTTTTGTAATTACCGGTAATTACTGCTCAATCAGTACTTCACCATGGTTACAGCTATACATAACATCTCTTATAAGTATACTCTGCTTCTCCTTTCCTATTACAGTTAGCTTGACAACTTGATTGAACACAGTCCTAATGATAGAGATCTAATGAAAAGCAAATCAGTTTAATACACAAAACTTTCTGTTGATGGTGCATTGTTCCGTAGACTGGTTTATTTATGTCTAAGTAGATATTACCGGTAGTAAAAAATGACTTGAGTGCTGTCCGTATATCTTTATCTAAATAGCTTTATTTTTGTATCAATTCCAAATTTTTCTCCATCTCTTTCCTTGCATCTACCTACATCTGCCTACACTTATTTCCCAACTAATTTGTTTCTTGTACTCTGCCTTTTCTTCATTTTGACATTCCTTCTTCTCTCCTCCTCATCACCTATATATCTGCAGGTGTTTGAGGCTTACATTGATCCAGAGAAAGATGATAACATACCAGATTACAGCATGGAGGATTTGATTGAAGAAAGGGTAAGCTAATGATGTGTATGATCCAAATAATATATATTATTAAAGTTGAATGAATCATTTATTATGTCATTATACTGTCCCTTGAAAATATATATTGCATGTAAATTCAACCATTGAAATGTATCAGTTTTTGTTACAAAACAGAGGAGAACAACTCCAATTAAATTGTTTCTTTTCCCCAGTGAATTGTCATGGCAAAGATTTAGAAACAATATTCCCCATGTACACAAATCATAAGTTCAAATTCAGGGTGTTGTTTACACTGTAAAACAACAGGGGAAGACCCTGGTTGAGTGGTCCACATGCATATCCCTTGTCAGTTATACTGGGAGGAAAGACCCGAGTGTCACACTGGTTCAGTTCACTTTTCCACCTCCCAGACACAATTGATGTCAAAATTCAATAACATTAAAGATGTAACACATCTCTTGTTTCATTCAACTCTCTTTATTTTTGTCTTCTTCCAGAGAAAGAAGAAGCAAGATTCTGAAGATGCTAAACACATGCTGATGGAACTCAACTCGGTGCTGACCAAAAGAGAAGGAGAAAAAGAGAAGATGAGAAGGGAGAGGAGAAGAATGAAGGATGGAGGTGATTTAGTCAAAGAAACAGAAACACTCGGTGAACTGAATGAAGGAGCGGTAGATAGTACGAATGACGACAGGACAATTGGAGATAGAAAGACAAACATCCCTGTTACTTGCAATGGTTCGTTGAGTGAGTTAGAGAGCGGAAATACCTCTACACTGTGTGACAGTTTAACTGATTTAGACCATGATCAGACATTATCCCAGAAATGTCATGAACACCATGATAGGCATATAGGGAAAGTCAACCCTCAACAACTATCACATGATATCAATTGTACCGAGGACTCCTCATCTGAAACAAAATTACTAGAAGTCGCCGACAATGGGGACGATGAAAAATATGATGACCAAAAGAGTGATGACCGAGTTCTTCGCCATCAAATGTCATTGAATGGTTGCCAGGATGTTAGTTCTTCAGGAAGCGGTGAAGGATATGATGCCTCAGGTATTGGAAGGAGTACAGAGACAATGATAAGAAGGCCAGTTCCGAAGCCAAGAAAAAACATAGGCAAAAGACTCAATCCTTCAAGCGATGGAAACGTGGCACCTCTTGGATCGGACTCCATTGCAGCTTCCCATGAAAGTGGCCAAGCTTCTCTTGTAAGGTCTGACCAGGACTATTGTGATCCTGAAGAGAAGAAGAGTTTGGACTCTGAAGGACATGGTTCAGAGAGTGGAGATAGAGAGGGGGTGTGTCAGTGGAGACAACAGCCCATGGATATACCGTTCATGCAAGGGTTAGCAGCAGAAGCTGTCAGGATATCAAGAGAAAGGCAATCACTGGCTGAAGATACGTTCGGAGACTGAACGTTCTGGCATCTTGACGTCGATAATCATTGACTTGATTTCTTTATTCAATCAATAAGTTATCTATCGGTTAAATCTGTTTGCTTATTTTCGGACACATCTTCCATTTCCTGATGATCTTGGTTCAACGTGATGCGATGTGACGTTACATCACCACCTCGTCTCTCAATGCTTTATAAGATGAATACACTCGGGATCCCCCAAAACTTAATTTCATTTTGACAATTTCTATAAGTTATTATATATTAAAGCCCCCATTCAAACTCAAAGTTTTAAAACTTGTAATTGGATTTTGTTTACGTCATATAGCATAGATTTTACCCCTCCCTAATTCACCCCACCCCCTTTCTCTTTATCTATCTCTCTCTCTTGATCTTTTGAATGGTCTGTGTTTTAGACCAGAGAACTTTTAAAGAGCTAAATTACTTTAATTTTTTTTAGAGTATGTGCAGCTCACCAAGTCTTTGGGGGATGTAGGTCCTATCATGAAGTGGTAATGAAAATGACAGATATAAAAAGTATTCAATGTAGATGGTAATGAGTAATATTTATGTTTCCTGCATTTTCTTGCCATTTTGCATATTGTCTGTGAGAGTAATATTGGTGTCCGCACCTGAAATAAAAACTTTTAATGTATTCAAGAGAATATTGAGATATATTGCTTTCTTGATTTTAAAGGGGAAGTCCACCCTGATATAAAGTTGGTTTTAATAGAAGCAGAAAAATGAGAGAAACAGGTCAGTGAATGTTTGAGCAAAAACCAATTAAAAATAAGAAAGTACTGGTAATAAATATTTTAGGTGCGATCAATCAGACACAAATTGGCAACTCTGTAGCGTATCTTGCGAGGTCACCTCCCATTTACCCTGTACTAAAAAACTTTAAAAATGTGTATTTACTATTAAGAAAATTTTAAATTATACATTCACCCTGAATATTCTTTTTGCTAATGTGTTTTTGTAAGACCCCTGTCAAATCATCAATAACTTATATGATGAGAAGAACAAAAAAAAATTCTGTACAGAGCAAATTTGAGAAGAGCACGTCTCAATGTTGCCAATTTGTGTTTCACTGACCACAACTTCAACAATCCATAAATTTCCTAAATTTTAATAGAATATTGATCAAATTATCGCTAATTTGTTTTTCTCAATTTCTGCTTTTATTAAAACCAAGATAATACCAGGACGGATTCCCCCTTTAAAAGCATTACACAATTGGTAATTTTATCGATCTTGAAATGAAACGATGGGAATACACTGGGGAAAATAGTAATAAATTACAGAGAGTACTAGCTAAGAGAAAAAACCAAGAGAGCAGAAGAGAGAGAGAGAGAGAGAGAGAGAGAGAGAGAGAGAGAGAGAGAGAGAGAAAGAAAGAGTGATTCAAAGAGATAAAGAAAAGTAAAAGAACAATATGATGAACAAATAAAAGTGTAAGATTATTGAAAGAGAAGGATGCACAGGAAGAAGGTAATTACACTTAAGTGGATCACTGAATGGTGTGAAACAAATTATAAACTAAAACAATGGGATTTCAGAAGAAAAAAAAATTGATGTCCTTTAAGTCTGTCTTCCGTTGCTCTCCATATCTTTAAAGGGAAGTCTTAGCTTTGCAAAACTTGAGTAAATCTGGTTTCTTTCAAATTGATGTTGAGGAAATAAAATCAACTCTCCATATAAACTAAATAAAAGATCCTTACAAATTCCTCTTTTCCTATCAAATGGCAGTGTATATGAATTTTAAAATGCCACTAAATATATTGGAGCCATGGTACCTTTACCCCCCCCCCCCCCCCTCAGGAACTTTCGGGATTGCTTTTCAACTAGTGTTCTCTACAAACAGGTGTACCGTTTTGGAGTTCAGTGACCTTTTATGACCTCATATCGGCCTGAAAATGGAGAGTTTTTAGATCTTCTGTATAAAATGTATAGAAAAACATATATTTTCAAGTTTCATATAAAAATTAGTCATTATTTTCTAGTTCATGTAATTTGTTATTTCTCAACTTAATATCCAGATAAAGGCCTTGACTGGCAATAGGCAAACAATCGTAAAATAGATGAAAGTTTAAATCCATGAGAAATTTCAAAAAGAAATAAAAAGGCAAGGATTGAATTGGCAGATTTTGTAAATATAGTCGCACAAGACTCTAATTGGCAAATCACAACCTTGGAAATTTAGAAATGTTTAAATATGTTTACATAGATAATATCAAACATTATAATACCATGGTACTTTAATTGTCAAATATGTTATGCCCTTCCCTATCTACACCCATCCTAAGGAAGTGCTTCACATCCGTCTATATCTTTTCCCACAATTAAAGATTAGCATTTTAAGGAAATCAATGAGGAAGAAACACTCAAAGTAATTTTAAACACCATTTCCTTTAACTTTAAGTGGGCCTGAATTCACTTACTAACAAGATCCTAGGAATTCAATCCATCCTCCGGGATTTAGTCTCGTGTGTCATACCTATTAATACCTTTAATTTGTGTGCATCGAATTAAAACATCGCAAATTTTACTTGCACGATATGTACATTATAGTTGTAAGTGATTCTTGGTCTTTTTTAACAGCATGTAGATTGACATGCATGACCCTTTTCCTAGGAGGCAGATCTCATGAAAAGATTCGGTTTCATTCGGGTACAATGCGATCAAAAGAGCATGTACACAATGAAGCACTACTATATTATATACCAAGAAGTTTTAAGAGATGGAGTCCTATCTAGCTCATTCCCTTTGTACAATCTTCGATGCCGCCATGAGAAAATATGTCAGGCACAGGCGCGGATCCAGGGGGAGGCCGAGCGGGCCTTGGCCCCCCCCCCCCCCGTAAAAAAAAAAAAAAAAAAAAAAAAAGGAGAGAGAGAGAAGGAAAGAAGGGAAAGGGAAAGAGGAGAGGAAGGGAAAGGGAAAGAGGAGAGAAAGGGAAAAAAGAAGAGGAAGAAGAAAAGAAAAGAGGGAAGAAGTAGATCGGGGGGGGGGGCAAAAGGACTTGCCTCCTAGGCTGTTGCCCCCCCCCCCCAATCAAAACATAAAAGAGAAGGAAGGAAAGGGAAAGAAAAAAGGAAAAGAGGAGAAAGGAAAAAAGAGGAAGAAGAAAAGAAAAAAAGGGGATAACGACACAACAAATCGTCTTCTTTCTCTAATGATTTAATGAAACGTAAGCTTCCGCTTAGCGCGGGAGGGGGAAAACTCAATTCAGACGAGGATTATTTTTGGGGAACGGTACAACAAATCGTCTTCTTTCTCTAATAATTTATTGAAATGTCAAAGCTTCCGCGTTTCAGTCGCGGAGGAGGGAGGGGGAAACTCGCCCCTCCCTGCACCCACCCACCCCCAATTACGTCACTGCTTGTCACCATTACGAACCAATATTTGGCTCGCATAATTTCAAATTTTGCCCCCCCCCCCCCCCCCCTAAGAAATCCTGGATCCGCGCCTGATGTATATACAACGGCAACAGTTTCAATATAAAATGTAAGTTCTTCTTACTTAAATCATTGGTCTGGAAACAATTATTTGCCCATTGTTGTGTATTGCATTACATTTTCACTGACAATGAATTCACATTGTAATGCAATTTTCAAGTTTCCCAGGCTTATTTAGGAGAACAGAAGATTGATATTGTTTAGTTGTACGATAACATCACTCAGTTTGATTTGATTTGATTGAAGATATATCTCATTAAAAACAGAGTAAAGGCTATACAGTTTCAAACAAACCTACACCATTAAACTTCAAGCTCACTCACACATGATTTATTGCGACACTTTCAAGGCTACTTATTATTTCAAGTTCATGTATATACAAAGGGCAACAGCTTCAATATTAAACGTAATTAAATCAATGGTCTGGAAAATGTTAATGCCCATTGTTGTATATTATACAACATTTTCCATAACGATGAATATACATTGTATAATGACCATGGCCCGACTGGAGATGCCGGTATCTGGATGAACCTGCTTGAGGACTTTGTAGATGTAGATTCCATAACTCTCCTTCCTTTTCCTGTTCCTCTTCTTGCCACCGCTGGGCCGAGGGGCCTTGACTGCCTTCTTGGAGCCTTTCTTAGCAACTTGAGCTGTTGGAGCCATGATGAATTGAGGTTTTCCATAACGATGAATATACATTGTATAATGCAATTTTCAGGAAAACCATACTTGTCATTACTGTTATATTTGTTATATGATACTAAAGCAAATCGTTTCGCTTATCGATAAGATAAATCAATGTGAAGTACGTCATTTATAGCTTCCGCGCTTTGCAGAGGAGGGAGGGGGAAACTCGCCCCTCCCTACATCCCCCTGCATTACGTCACTGCTGGTCACCATTACGTACCAATATTTGGCTCGCATAATTTCAAATTTGGCCCCCCCCCCCCCCCCCCTAAGAAATCCTGGATCCGCGCCTGGTCAGGCATGTGCTTAACTGGATCTTCCTTGCAGATACGTAGACAAAAGATTCCTGCCTATAGCTGCGAACTAACGGGCCACTTTCAAATGGAAATATGCGAAAGGAAATGGAGCAAATTTTTCTGAAATATTAATCACAATTACTCGACTGGGCATGTGTGGGCACTAATCTGACATATAACATCACAAAGAACTGTACATGAACATATTCACTTTTTATTTTCGTGAGCCGCAAGTAATCGGAAAAGTGTGGTCAAATGGCAGGTCTTAGGACTGTGAATTTTTACTATTTTTCACAAATTAAAGCTGCTATCATACAATGTAAGCAAATGTCCTGACATAAGTAGGCTTTTGTATTCATATTTTATCATCTGTTCGATTTTCCCCTTGCGGTCAAATAAAAAGTGAAATATTGACAAAAATCACTACTCAAGCTTTCCAATGAGGCGGCTTCGAACCTCGGACATCAAAGTTTACAGCACACCAGTACATTATATTGTGCAACCATAGAAAACGGCAGCTGTTTTGAATAATTTGTTACCAGTTGGGTCTCCGTCTCTAAAATCTCCTTGTATATACCTTTCTTTCAAAATCTGAATAGCATCATCCGGTCGCGAACAAATGGGAATTCCCCGCGCTTAATTGCTTCAAACCAGGGAATCGTACATCATCATGGATTGCATGCTTTCGGATGTGCGTATCTAACATGTTCCAAATTATAGTTATACACTTGTATTACAAACCAGACAGACAGACGCCCCCCCCCCCCTCCAACACACCCCCTCCCACACACACAAACACATACTATTCCATGATTTCATGACCCCATCCTACTCTTTAATTGCGTTTTTGTTTTTCCTTTATAAGATAGTAGTGGCGTATCCTAGTTTCCATAATGGTAAAGGCTGGTGTACAAAAGTATCCACCCACGTTCGAAAGAGGAGGTTAATGGGTCTTTACGCTATACCCGGGCACGATTCTGCTCCGTTTTAAAAATTTATTTGTGGATACGCTACTGGATATTTGACAACCAGTAATTATGACGCCTAAATAAATTCATTCAAAACGCATGTCCTCAAGAAAAAGACCCGACTGTTAACCTTTTGACTGAACTTATTTTACAATGTCAAAGGAAACTACAACGATGGAAAAGGACACGATCGAGGGCCAAAGAAAACATTATTTTACTCAATGTCTTTCTATTGGCCTTTAGGTCGATCGGGAATAAATTCCATCACGGCGAACGTTTCTGAAACTCAACGACGCTGGTTAATTATGGAGTTCGGGTTAAACGTTCATAATAATTTATTTTCAGTGGTGGATCTAGGGTTTTTATGCATACATGGGGGCCGGGGGGCATAAGTCTTCAAAAGCAAGGCGAACAAAGATCACCATTGCATTCTTCATGACGGTCGTCAGGTGGTATAATGATTGCATTCCTGTGCCCCCCCCCCCCCCCCATCCCGTTTTTCCAATGTGCATCGTAAATCATTGATCCTTCGTTGCTTTTCAGGTATCGTTATATAAAAATGCCTTCAAAGTACAAAGGAAGAAGTAAAGAAATATGCACATGAGTTTAAGTATAGAGTAGTTTAATAAACACATTATGCCGACCAATCGCACAACACATAGGGGTTTAATTCTTATTCATAATCTGAAGCCTAATTAATGAAATATGCTTTTGATATGCTATGATGGAAATTCCGTGCACGCGATGTATAGGCCCAATAATGAGTCATCCATATTTGACGCCAGAACACTCTCCCGCGTGCCCTTCATCGTCCAAAGGACAATCGTCCACTGTTGACTGCATTCTGTTCACCAATTTCTATACATCCCCTGTTATTGAAATTATATCAACAGCGTTCTGTATTATAACGCCCTACAGGCATGTGCAACAGCAAACAGTACTCATGGTGATTGGAATGAGAACTGCGGATGCATGCCTGTCGATCTGTGTGTCAGATATTGGTATATAGATCCGATGTACGTGCTTGCCGTTGGATATCATTTTGTGCTCCTATGATAACGTTGAGTCCAGCAACAGACGGCAAGTTGTAATCCGAGTAATTTGTGTCGCGATCGCTGGCGGGAAATAATGGCGGATACCGGATTCAAATTCTCTCGTCTGGGAGGAGGAGGAGGAGATGACCAAGGGGGAGAGGGGAAGGGAAGTCAGGAAGCTTTCGCGGGTAATATTGAGAGTAGGCCAGCAGGAGATTCTTCGACGAATCCGATGATGACGATGGTGCTCGGTAATGGACAGGGAGCCAGGGGATCTGTCAAAGCGGTACGGAGGACGACTCTCTTGATGATGGCTCTGGTAGGCGTTATCTGTCTGTTGGCTGTTGTTTTGTCTGGTCTCGCTCTCTCTCGCGTGATGTCTATTGAGACATCGGGTAAGTAACTCGTTTGTTTTCTTTGCTCTGAAAGAATGGTGATGTGTAACAGGGATGAAAATAAGAAGAAGAAAATAGGTGAAATATATTGATCGAGAGCCATCCCAAAAGGCAAAGGTATTTTTTTTCTCTTTCTCTCCCCTCCTCCGGGCTCTCTCCACTCCATCTCTAACTTCTAAGACTCCCCCCCCCCATCTCCCCCCCCCCCCATCTCTCTCTCTCTCTCTCTCTCTCTCTCTCTCTCTCTCTCTCTCGACCCCTCTTACCCATACTCTTCTCGTCTCGTTTTCCTTTTCAATTTCAATACAAATTTACATTGTAACATTTCTTTGTTAACGATTTGGATTATGATAATGTTCAATCCCTGGTTCAATGTATTGTCTGTTCAGTCTAGCGGTACGATATAAACTGCATTCTATACGGAAACAAACGGACAGTGTTTGTGCACATAGACCTACATAGTATACACGTACAATGTATATAATTTGTTTATGAGCCAAATCTATACCAGAATATCATGGTAGGTGTAAAGACAAACCTGTTACTCATTTTGTTAAAGGTACTGCTGCTACAATGATATGACTTGTTTCTATATAACGAATGGCAACAATCTAATATTTTTCTTGGCCCTCATCGTACTCGACATGCATAATGTTCAAAGATAGAATTTCTCTGCTAGCTTCCAAATGTTTATATGCATATTATTCTTTTAACCATCTGACTTTTTCATATATACCTCATGCGCCCATCAATACACGTATTTGAAGATCTAGGCCCATCATTCATTTTGACATTGCTGTTGAAGAAAGGTTGATAATTCTGACGCAAACAAAATATGTTAGTCTAACATCGTTCATGATAGAGCGTTACTCATTCTAAGAATGAGTAACCTCTATCATGAACGAGTTCATTCAATATTTTTTAGAACATTTCCTGTATTTTGTAAGCTGTGTGTATTTTAAAAGAATTTTTCTGAGAGATCTCCATGTTGTCATGGTTATTTTGGCAACTAACCAAATTGACATCCGAATCCAATGCTCCAGAGCATAACATAGCTCATGCATCTTTAGAATTACAGCATCCCAATTATTTCAATTCTGAACTGTTTTACATAATTATGTTATATTGATTTTAAGAATGTAGATACATCCAAACAGATATACAACGTTAATGAGATATAATTCATAATTATGAAGGGAAAAAAGTACAGTGTATGTGATAAAGATCATTCTGTCCTTATACATTATGTCACTAAAAAATAGATTATTTGTATACCCCTTTAGAGTTTATAAATATATTTCAAACACAATACAGTTTGGTCATCCTGCTGTGACGCCTAAATGTACAACAGTCTAGCGAGTAATGGAGTGAAAGAGAGAGAGAGAGGGGGGGGGGGGTGAGATGAGGCAGAAATAAAGACAGAGAAAGAGATTCACAGAAAATAGATGATTTAGGTCATTTTAATCAAAGACTATTAAATGAATCAAGTTTTTTTTCTATTAAAATTCAGAAGAGTGTCAGATGACATTTAAAGGCCTACATCAGGCAAAAGAAATATGTAGGACAACGGTACAAAACTGCTTTCATCTTGATATCACAAGCAGTTGTGTATAACTTTCGGGGCCACGTGGAGCACGTGCCTCCTCCTACTCCCCCCCCCCCCCCCCCCCCCCCCCTTCTCCATCGAGTGGTGACAACAATTTTTGTTTAAAGAAAGAAAAAATAGAAAGGGGAAGGGTAAAGGGAAAAGATGAAGGGGAAAGGGTGAGAAATGAAGATGCCTGGTCCCCCACCCGCACCCTCCACCCAAACCGTAGCCTTGTTGAATTGCATTTCATTGAGAAAAGCCTGTATTAGGCCATTTACAAAAATAGTCATGTTTAGCGTCCCCGAAAAAAACACATGATAAACACTGCTAAAATGGATCTATTTCTGAATTGAAAAGAAAAAAAAAATGTTGGCGGCCATCTTGAAAAATAGCCCGACTGTCAGGGAAAATGTACCGAGCGGCCCCTTTGAGCGGCTATTTTGAAAGAAAGATAAAAAAAAAAAAAGAAAAAAAAAGGGCCTCCTCCTTCCTATTTTTCGAAAAAACAGGAAGCTAAACATGTTTTTTTTTTTAATTTGGCCTTACGTGCCCCCGCCACATATTTCTAGAGCCCCTCAGCAGTACGCCATAATAACGAGCAAACTATGTTCGTATCATTGTTTGTTTGCTGGCCCTTGTGTCGTATAATACATAACTTGATATGAATAGCTTATGAATAGATACAATAAATGAGGCAAGGTTAATTAATACCCGTACTTTTCTAAAATTCTTTCCCAACCATGCTATATCATCCCTGTAATGGAATTGTCCACTGTCGGTAACATTGGTCGAATATTTTATTGGATCTGAATAATAAAGCTGTCTGAGCACTCACACACGCAAAATGATTCTGCTTGCGTCCATTTTTTCCTCAGCAACTTGATGTGGTTTTCCCCGCGAAAAAGGCGCGAAGTCGTTATATCGGCATGTTCCTTTGTCATTTTAATGTTATTGTAACCACTCAGTGCATCCGTCGTCTATCAATAACTACCGGGTAGTCTTCTTTTAGAAATAATGATATTCTGTCTTCTTCCGGATCGAAAGTAATAGAACGAAGAAGAAATCATTGGTAGATTATACGTCATTGTCATATCTGTGAGTGCTGTTGGAGAGATTAAAAGGGGCTATAAGCTTACGATATGATTACAACCGGGCGGGGGGGGGGGGGTACTTGCATATTAAGACATACGGGGGTGTGCCGCTCTAATGGTTCACCTTTTCACCCAAAAATCACGAAACATCGGTTCTTTTTTTTCAAAATTTCCAAAATTTTCGGATGTTTGCCATTTAAACACCCGAAAATTGGCCTTACTTCGAGAAAAATCCCCCAACTAGGTAGGGGCTTCGAGGCTTCAGCGGCACACCCCCGTCCAAATCAAATCTGCGAAGTCTGGGTGCTTAATAGGACTTTTTGTAATACGATTTGAAGGAAATTAATGTCTAATGGGATTTTAATGAATTTTTTAATAAATTACATGAGGCCTTTATTCAATCGTGTTTATAATTTATCTGTTTTTTCTCCTTCTTTTTTACCATGCATGCAGAGAAAACATGGACGTTTGCGCTTGGACAGTCGAACCTTGTATTGCATTACATGTAAGGAAATATTTCTTTATTCAAAGAACTTTGGTTAATTGGCACCTGGCGTTTTCAAACCATGTTTAATTATAACAATTAGTCACAGCTGTTTCTTGACTATTTTTGGTAACATTTTTCTATTTTAAAATCTGATTTTATCACTTAGATTATCATTTATTAGTAAAAAAAAACTGTAGATGTTACATTACAATGCATTTACATAAAGAAACTTGTTAACTTCTATAAGGGTAATTCGATCTCTCTCTCTCTCTCTCTCTCTCTCTCTCTATCTATCTCTCTCTCTCTCTCTCTCTCTCTCTCTCTCATTCCTTTTATTCCTCATATCTTTTCTAATATTCCTTTTGTTCTTCTTTTTCCTTTTTTTTTTGTTTATCTCTCTTTATTAAACTGACGGGTTATCCTTCCCTATATTCTATTATCTTTCAACGTTTCATCACCATGTTCCTTAACCCTTACTGTACTGGGCTATTTTGAGCACCCGCTGACTGGGGGGGGGGGGGGCCTGGGAGGCCCCCCCCCCCTATGATCTCGGCCGTCGATTGTCCGATGAACACGAAAATTTGCATGTTTGTAGATATTTACATTAGGAACAAGATGGTATAATTAGTTTTTTTCCGAATATGCAAATTTTTGTCGTTAGCCTAATTAATTATGCAAAAATGCTAATTTCATGCATTTTACAGAAAACGTGTCAAACTCCAATTTTTGGATGTTGAAACTCGTTATTCATATGAAACTTCTTTTCTAAGACAAAAAAGTTAATTTAATGTAATTAATAATGATAATTTATGCAAATTTTGATGCGATTTTTTTTTTTTTTTTTTTTTTTTTGATGACATGCGCATACTAATTGTTATGTAACGCCTTACAGGTATATCCGATTTCGACGAAAATGGTATCAAAATGTGCGTAAGACTTGAGGGGAAAAAGTCATGAAACGACATTTCAAAATTCCAAGCGGTTGCGGCGCAAACTCCGAAAATGTCGAGGGGGGGGGCCTCCCAGGCCCCCCCCCCCAGTACAGTAAGGGTTAATCGTTTCTATGCTTAACAATGGCGTTTAACATAATTTACGTGTCATTTTTTTCTTTGTTGATTCATTCTATTTTCTTTCTTTTATCAGAGACGGAAAAACTTTACAAATGGACGGATTCGATGTTGAAATGGTGCAAGCCGGTATGTTAGGCCTAAAACAAATGTTGTATTGCCCTTTAGGTGCCAAAACAAGGGTCGGTCGGTCGGTCGGAATTTTTTTTTTTTTTTGGTCTCCCTCTTTTGGCTGATATTTCTCAGTTTTGAATGCTTTAATAGATTTTTTTCTAACAAAAACGGTAACAAAAAAAGAAACTTTTTAAAAAAGCCGACCGTAGATTTTAAGATTTTGGGGTCGGTCGCAATGGGGAATACAACATCTTTTTTTTAGGCCTTATCACAGTTCGCATTACTCATGAAAACGTCTCTCTAGACAACTACAACAAAAACTTTGTATTTGTAACCACTGTTCAACCCATATTTTCACCGACAGTCAAAGAGACCGACAAAGCCAGGAAGTGCATAAAAGAACAAAAATTAAAAACAGGGTGGACCTAACAGTCATCTGATATGCGATCAGTGTCTTTGTCCCGCTTAAATATTGAAAATTAACGTTCCCAATCCCGTGTCCGCGATAATTATACCCATCACAGTTTTCTGTTCATCTTTTTTTCTTTCTGTTACTTTTACCGAAACCGAGGGGGCGGCTTCAGGATTTTGTAAAAGGGGATTTTCCCCAAAAACTTCTTACAAGCAAATAAGGGGTTTCAGTTATCAGGCAAAATAGTGTCCAATCTGGCAAAACGTGGCAGTGGCGGATTAAGGGGGGGGGGCAGGGGGCACGTGCCTCCCCCCCCCCGGTAAAAAAGGGGGAAGGGGGAAAAGAAAGAAGAAGAAAAGGGGGAGGAGAGAAAAGGGGAGAGGAGACAAAGGAGGGGAAAGGAAAAAAGGGGAAGAAAGAGGAGAGAAAAGGCGGAAAATAATATAGGTTTTCCTGCCCAACTTCGTAAACTTAGCATCCGAATTAACGTAACGTTCATTCAAGTTCGTGCGAAATTGAATGACTATGTAGATCAACATTCAAAAAGCTAATTGCGTCGTTCAATTTGATTTAGTAGCATGCGATTTCATACTCTTGTCACGGAGAAGTGCAAAACGAGCATTCAATTTAGAAAAGCGTGCAAAGAGCATTCAAATTCGCGCCGGACAGACGGTGGTATGTATTCGAGCATTCAATTTCGTGATTAGGCATCCATATGTGACATTTGTGCATTGCTTTTCATTTGATGTTAATTTGTCACTTAATATACTTCTGTTTGAATAATTTAATGCTAAGTTTACTTGTAGGACTGATTATGCGTATTCGTTAGCAGATATCTGTCATTACACAGGTAACTGTCCCCAGAGAAGGCGCACAATTTGTGACTTCTCTTCTTCTTCTAAGAACAAGCTATATAATTATACACAGATCCTGGACAGCGGTAGAGTTGAGCTTTAGACATGGCCATGATGGAAACAAAGTACAATGGTGAATAAAGAAAAATATGTGAAATGAAAGGAAAGAAAGATTACCCACTCAATCCAGATTGATAAAAAAAAACATTTAAAAAATAACCTCATTTATAATGAAAGATATGAAGACATGACTGTATAAAGAAATGTTTCATCAAAAATAAAGATCGACAGAAAGAGAAAATATTGAATGCAATATAAATATATCAGACAAATAAGAAGATTGTATAATGTGAAATCATTTCAGAAAAGATCGTAGAGAAAAATAATAAACAAATGAACATGAAAAAGTGAATATCCGAATAAACATCAAGCCTCATACAATAATTATGAGGTCTAGTTTTAATTTGAATGACCCGATTGCGAAAGAGGTTGCCCATAGACGATAATGAAACCCAGATTCGACAAAGAATTGTCCTTCCACTCAACTTTGGCGAAATTGAATGACGCTAACGCATTTCCAAATTGACTGAACCAAACGTTAATTTGAATGTGCTTGTTTCGAAAATTCGGTGACTCGAAACGAAATTGAATGCAAAAAGTTTTAAAATGAAACAGGGAAGCAACGAGTGGAGAAAATTTGCTCGAACATGAATGCACGTTAGTGAAATTGATCGCTGCTTTGACGAAATTGGCCGGGAAAACCTATAATAATAATAATAAAAATGGGTTCTTGTATAGCGCTCATGTCAGTCAGATTTGACCCTCCTGGCGCTCCCGATTATTACACTGGCTTTAGCACGGCTGGCATACGGCGCTCTAGCATTGCAAGGAATAAACTCCTACCAGGTACCCATTTAATTTCTTCACCTGGGTAGAGTGTGGCAAATGTAGAAAAGGAAGAAAGGGGAAAGACTGTGTAGAGAAAAAAGGGGATAATACTATAAGATGGTGTTTTTTTTACCGGGAGAGGCGGGGGGGGGGGGGCACGAAACTTTGCAGTGTGCATTATATGGGGTCCCTCTTGCCAGGCGTTTAGCCCCCCCCCAAAAAAAAACAAAAAAAAACAACAACAACAACAACAAACAAACAAACAAACTAAAACAAAAACAAAAACAAAAACAAAAAAGGACAAGAAGAACAAAAAAAAAAGAGATGGAAAAAGGGGGAAAGAGAGAATTAAACAACGAAAGAAGAGATAACAATAATGGGATAACAAGCAGGGGCGTCGCTAAAGGTGGGGGGGGGGGGAGTTTCGCGCGGGAGGGGAGAATTCAGACAAGGATCAAGAGTCGAAAAGGTACAATGAATCGTCTTCTTTCTCTAATAATTTATTGAATCGTCAAAGCTTCAGCGCTTTGCGCAGGTGGGGGACAACTGAATTCAGACTAGGATTAAGAGTCGAGAACGGTTCAACGAATCGTCTTCTTTTTCTAATAATTAAATGAAACGTCATAACTTCTGCGCTTCGCGCCACAACGGATCGTCTTCTTTCTCTAATAATTAAGTGAAGTGCACAAAGCTTCCACGCTTCGCGCGGGAGGGGGGTGGGGAGGGAAGTGAAAAATAAGTTAGTTCCTGCCTCTGGTTTATAGGGTTAAATTGGTACACATAGGCATTATTTTATTTGTCGGGACCCCCTCCCCTCCCCCTCCCCCTCCCCCTCCCCTCCCCTCCCCCTCCCCCTCCCCTCCCCTTCCCCTCCCCCTCCCCCTCCCCTCCCCCTCCCCTCCCCCTCCCCTCCCCCTCCCCTCCCCCTCCCCTCCCCCTCCCCTCCCCCTCCCCTCCCCCTCCCCCTCCCCCTCCCCCTCCCCGTCCCCCTCCCCCCCTCCCCGTCCCCGTGACTCCTCACCGATCCACCCCTGAAACTATACACTTTCACCTTCATCATTTCAACACGCATTTACTATTTCTCGAATTGTTCTCCCGTGTTTTCAATCCACTTCCATCTCTTTGCAGTATGTCACGTGGCGGGTAAGAAATGTGAGATAGTGACTGATCAACGCACAAACTGCTGGAAATCTCAGAATGGATCACCTGCGACGGGTGGAGAGGGTCTCTACGGAGGCTGGTATGATGCATGCGCTGGTAGGTATCGCAGTGTTGTATAAGAAACGGATGTCACATAATGTGTGACTCCAAAGAGGATTTAGGTATGATTTCAATATCTATTATTTCTACTTCTACTATACTACTGCTGCTGCATGCTGCTGCTACTACTACTGCTACTACTACTAGGTTCTAGGACATTACCCCGTTGGACTATCAACCCCCGGCTATTAACCAGCGGGACAATTACCCCCCCCCCCAAGTACAATTATCCCTGAGGACAACCACCCACCCCCCCCCCCCCCCCGAGGACAATGAACCCCGGAAAATTACCTCATAGGACAATTACCCCCCCCCAAAAAAAAAAAAAAACACAACAACAACAACAACAAACAAACAACAACAACAAACAAACAAACAAACACACAAACAAACAACAAAACAAAACAAAAAAAACAACACACAAACACACAAACAAATAAAAAACAAATCTGTTTTTATTAAAACCAACTTATTATCAGGGTAGACTTCCCTGAGACGGGTGGGGAATAATTGTCCCAGGGGTGATTTTCTGAGGGTGATTGTTCTCGGGGGTAGTTGTCCTTAATTGGGGGCAATTTTATGGCGGTTATTGTCCTTGGGGATTGTTTTCCAGGGGCATGATTGTCCAGGGGGTAATTACCTGATGCGCTTATAATATTATATAATACATGTACAATACACATTATCTAGTTATGAATGTAATATAATTTGTGTATAGAATGTTTTACCAAAGATTTTGTTTGCCCATAACAACTATGAACAGTAATAGGATTTGAAACGTTTGTGTTGATTAATGTGCAAACATGGCCCCATTCCATTGTGGAATACATGGAAAGTTTCCGAGTAAAATAATTAAACACAGTTCAGGAACCTTTTTGATAGAACCTGATATCAATATAACAAGTTACAATAACTGTTATAATTAAGTTAGGGTACTGAAATTGTGGCATTTTATTTTTGCATTGTCGTAAAAATTTAGCATTCGTTATTAATAACAAGTTTCATGAATCAGGTCCCAAAATTTGTAACATACCTCGACGGTCAACAATAATATATCATCTTTCCAAAGTGAAATTTCCCTCCTGTTTTTTTCTTCTTCAAGTTACTCCAGGGTTTAACCCCAAATATTCAGGAGGTCAATCCAAGATGGGCGTGGCACCTTGATACTGAGCTGGCATTTCATGGTGTCAACGGACCCGGTCATCCTTACCTATATAAAGGCACATAATAATAATAATAATGGTGGCTTCTTATATAGCGCACATGTCCGTCACGTTGTGACGCTCCTGGCGCTGCCCCGATAATGCTTCACTCCTACAGTATTTTTAAAGATATTATTTATCAATATTTTTGTTAAATTTCAAAACCAGTTTTCTAATATAAAGCCGATTCTTGATGAATATTCTATCTTTTCCAGGTTGGTCACAGACTCCAGAAAGGCGAAGGGCATTTGCTTTCACTGAGCCTTATACCAAGCCATTCCCTAGCGCGTTCTTTACGCTAAACGCGTCACCGGGAAAGTCTAGTTTTGACACCTCTGACATGCAGGGAAAGAAAATCGGATTCCTTGACGGCTATGCAAGCGATGAACATTGCTTAAACAGACAGGATAATATTCAGGTATAACAGACAGAGAAGTAGGAACATGCAAAGAAAAAAGTCATTACAGAATCGCTGGACTTTTTTTCTCAAAAACATTGATTATCTACAAGATATTGAAGGTCTATTTAATAAACGTTATGTTAGTGAATTTGAAGGTTCTTTTAAAGTGAAGTACAGACAAGAAAATATCCAGGTAACAGACATTGATATATTTAGGTAACAGACAGGGATATGTTTTAGTAACAAAGAAACTGATAATAATATTCAAAAGATGAATGGAGCATGAAACTTTGATATAAAATTATCTAGTGTCTGAACAGTAAGATGTAATGGGTATGTATGGTTCAAATATTCCTTTTTTTTTTAGGAAAGGACAATCCCTCCAATTGATAGTGATGAAGGAAAATGAAAAGATTATTGAGTCATGACGTCATATTGTTTGAGTCTATCGGTGAAAAAAACCTTTGGCCAACTTAAGGCTTTCTCTTTCAATAACCAGGAAAACTGTCCCTGTTATAAACTTCTCAAAACGGTCAACACTTATACATTTTTTTGCAAGAGGAAGTTCTGATGGAGTTATCGGGAGGGATGATGTGGGATGAAGCCAAATCATTCACACCAGGTTCAAGACAGATGAGAATAGTACAAAGTTTTTGATACGGTTGTAAAATAGCGGTTAGATAACTTTCTCTTAATCAAACTTGATTGAAATTCATCATTTTAAAATCTGGTGATAATGACATTACCTCTTTTCATACAATTACTTTATTATATTCATAATACATTCTCTTGTATTCATTGTGTTCCTTTGTCTAGGGTTTACCTCTGAAGACTGAGCAGATATTTCACTACCTTACACCCGCTGATGCAGAAGCAGGATTGAGAACCAATCAGGTATGTCAAACTAACCATAAATTATCTCTGATACGAAACCTCCCCCCCCCCCTTTCCCATCACCATCTGCACCCCCTTAGTCGGCAGCCAATGGGCATCGATCCCCTACATATGTGACCAAAAAAAATTGTCAGGGGATTTTTCAAACATGCATGTCCACCCCTCAACTCTAGCATCGTGGATCTGCTTCTGTCATATTTTTAAATACTTTTTTGCATTTTGATTTAATTTGACTGGGTGAATAAAATAAATTCAAATAAAACAGTGTCTCATGTTTTGTTTTCTATATATATATATATATATATATATATATATATATATATATATATATATATATATATATATATATAGGTTCATGCAATATACACGACAAAGTATGTGAGTATGGCAGACGCTTCTCCAGTAGAGGGAAAGTCATTTAACTGTTCGACTCGAGGTTTATCCATCATGACCCGGAAGGATTCCGGGCTTGAGGACTGGTGGAATCCTGCTTGGGAGCAGATCTTCCACAGCACGTATTACCATGTCTTATGTCAGACACTGGTAATCAGACATGGTAAGTGGGATTTCTTTCTTTAAAATTGTTTTTAATCAATTAAAAAAAAACAGGATTTAATGAGTCATATATAGGTCAATCATGATGTTAGCAGTAATATGCATTCCTTGAATGTTTATGTTGTCAATATTATATCCGTTTTTTAGGGGGAAAATGCATTAAAGCATTCAAAACTGAGAAGAAAAAAACAGTATAACAAAGTATTTAAAAAAAAAAAAGATTTCCGACCGACCGACCGACCCATGTTTTGGCACCTAAAGGGCAATACAACATCTTTTTTTAAGGCCTCAAATGGATTAGAGATTAATGAATGTCATACCTTTTCTTTTTTCTTCTTTTTTCTGATTATAAAAAAAAGTTAAGAAAAGTAACCTTCACCATTTATTGATAAAGACAATTAAAATAGGCAATATAAAACCTATAATTAACGTGGCTGTAAGGATAAACTGAAATTTACTGAAAACTGAAATATCCTTTGTGCTTGATTACCAGTTGGGAATTATTTTTTTAGTTGAAGACTTTACTAAAAAAACATTATTTTATGTTAGACATATCGTTTTCCTCTCTCTCGTGTTGATAATGATTTCACATTAATGATTGTGATTTTGTTTTTCTAAACATGCTTGATTGTTTTCAACAAGAAATATTTAGTGTAAGCCATATCTTATGATTTTTTATGTTTCTGTTTATTTACCATTCCCTCCTCCCCCCCCCCCCCCTTTCTCTCTCTCTCTCTCTTTCTCCACTTTACAATACTTTTTCTTTTTGCATCTTTGATCTTTTTTATTTTCTCTCCCTCTCTCTCTCTGTTTCCCACTCTTTATTGTGCTTCCCTCTTAAATTCTTTCTGTTTGGATCTCTACCTCTATATCTTTCTCGCTCTTGCTCTCTCCCCCTTCCCCCCCCCCCTCCCCCCCTCCCCCTCCCCCTCCCCTCCCCGTATTTTTCCCTTTACAGGGCTATTTCCTGGGCTGAACGTTGAAGACATATGTCTTCAATTCACATAATGTGCCTTTTCATAAATTAAATACATTATTTTGTCATCTTTCCTATTGTGAACTCATTGCCTTTATATTTCTCATGTAATACAACATTTTAAAGATAATGTGCGCATTATTTTGTACTTTTACAGTAAGTGTTCTATACTGACTTTGTGTTTGTTGGCTGAGCCATTGTTGATGTTTTTGTTGTTGCAATCTGCCACATTGTTTGGTAATACTTATTCATAATATGATCTTGTATATGGTGTCAGAATATAAATGAAATAAATAATTTCAATTGCAAATTAGGTGTACCGGTAATGCACAAGTTCTACCTTTATTGGATGTAACATTTTGTGTAACACATGGGGTACTTGTATTTATAAAAAGGTGTGTAGTCGTGTACATGTAGGTCAACGAGACATTAAATGTCACCACGTATTAACAGTTAATTGTGATTACTGTATTTGTGAAAGCCCACATTGTGAATATCGTCTTATGAAGTGGGAAAACATGCTGGTGAATCTGAAATGTTTTGGATGGTGTTTGTGAAATGCTATTTTAGTTTCTAGGATATTCATTGAGATGTATTTTGAAAAAAGCAGTTTATTATTCATGTGATTTTGATAAGTTGCAAGTTTGTTATACAGTTTATTTCATCTGTTTACAGCCAAGATTAAGGAGCTCTTTAAGTAATGATTCCACACACTGAACTGCTGGTTTAATCTTGATTTTTATTAATGCTTTATTTCAATCATTATCATTATCAAGAGTAATCAGGAAAATTTACAACCTATTATGACAAATCGGATGATTGACTTGGTATATTACTAAACTTGAATAGAATTCTATGTTAGTGGAGTACCATAATATATTGATATGCAGACATAATAAGCACAAACAATTACAAAGCGCTTTTAATTTCAGCCATGTGAAGAGTGAAGACTCATATACATGTATTTGGTAACTGACTGCCTCATCAAACATGATCTCGCCATCTATTCAAAGTTTTTACATCTACTGTGACTTGATATAAAACTCAGTTCCATGTTTATATGCTCATGCTCTTTCTACCAAGCAGTAGTCTTCTATTTAACGCATTGTTTCTTCCCAAAATAAACTTTTATAGATTGCATATGATGCATTCTACAGCACACTTGCGTGAATTACACATTTATTGTTCTTTGCATACACTTAAAAGAAAAAGGGACTAACATGAACATCAAACTATTAACTTGCTGTTGCTCTACAATGACATACAGTTAACAACTAAATTATTGATACCCCTTGTAAGTTTGATGTTTTTTGTATACTTGTAATTTAAGAATGAAAGGTGGACTGATTGAATTAGGGCCTTTATTGAATAATTTTAGAAGCTTTGATATTTCACATTTTCAAGAAATACAAATTGGGACAAATCAATTTTTGACATACTTAAAAAATTACAAAACTTGGTAAGGGTATGAATAATTTAGTTTTTAACTGTATACATATATAATCATGTCATAATGTAGTAGAAGCACTTCTTCAATCATTAAATTCTATCAGTGAAGAGAGAGACACTTGTGTCAAGTATGTTTTTGTTTATACCCCAAGAGATATTTTGTTTTTCATGTATAGTAATTATATCTTGAGAGTGGATGGTGTGGAGTATAAGAATAATAATTCATTACATGTTCAATACTATTACAACAAAATACGACAAAATGCATACATTTACACACAAAAAAAAGGAGGGTATTCGTAATCTACCGGTATGATTAAAATTTCATAACAAGAACAGAATACATAACTGAGAAACGTATTATAAATAAGTAATACAATAGGAGGAACAAATGATGTTCAATGGCACTTTTAAATAATTTCATTGGTGTATTGGACAGGGCAAACTGGAATAAGATTTACATAAATTTTGTGAAAAATGAGATGTAACTGCTGGAAGAGCGTCAAAAGACACACTGCACACCGAGTTACAGGTGCGTTGTTTATATGATTTTTCATACATTCTGTACATTTCATCACTCAATATTACTGTTGCAAGAGCGTGTTCTGCTCTTTATGATGAAGACATGTGATAGGGGTAATACAGGGCGATTCTTCCAATCAGGGAAAAAATTAATATTTATTTTTCGGGGGCTACTTTTCAAGCTTGCCTGCATGAAAATAACATTCTAAAATTTGTTATACATTGAACTCTATGCAAATTTTTACGGAGGCTCTATTCCGATTTTCTGGGGCTCTTTTGGGCATTTTGGGGGCTATTTCGCCCCGAGCCCCCGTGTATTTTTTCACTGCTTCCATTAATTATATTCACATAAATTTTGTGGAAAATGAGATGTGTCTGCTGGAAAAATGTCAAAAGACACACCGAACACTGAATTACAGGTGCATTGTTTATATGATTTTTCATACATTCACTCAATATCACTGTTGCAAGAGCGTGTTCTGCTCTTTATGATGAAGACATATGTTAGGGGTAATACTGGGTGATTTTTCCATTCATTATATTCACATACCTTTAAAAAAATTAACCAGTAGATTATCAAAGCAAAATAACTTTCATTAATTGCCCTACTATTGATCCAAATTGGGCAGCTGAATGATCACAATTGGTTATATTCCATCATAAATAATAACTTCACATACATGTACATACACAATAACAAGTGCATTTCAGGAACTACAAAATCACAATTGTCATGCCCATTAGACCTCTACTAACTCCAATATCACATCACACCGTGGTCATAATAGAAAGAAACAAAACATACAGTTTTGCAGAAGCAGTTACCATTAAACATTTCTTGTATTTTCATAGAGGAAGCTTGATTGATGAATAAAGACAGGTTAGTCCACCTATATATTTGTATGTACTGAGATCAAATACAAGGTACCTGTTACATGTATATAGATTCTGGTACTATAACATACATAACTCAAGACACAGGTTGACCATTTTATAGCTACATGCACCACTAACAAAGAATGATTCTTTTAATACATTTCTGGGTTTATTGAGCATAAATACCTCTATTTGCAGAGCTCTTTGCTATATATGAAAAATTTACACATTTCCAGAATAAATGTTAATTCAGTTTAGATGTACAAAACAAGTAATAAACAAGCTACATTGTAATGGTGAAATTCCCTCAAGCTATCAGATCCCTCTCTTGCAATTTCCCTATGAAAAAAAAAACACCAAGAAATGATGCACTTTGAAGCCTATCAATCACATACTAATACATAAATGAATTATCTGACTTGGCCAACAATGAGCAAAGAATCAAACCACCTTTATCTCTTCCATGTACAGCAATAAACTCATTATCTTTTGAGGAGTTTCCTTTAAATTTATTAACAGTTTCATGTAGAGACCATAAAACTGAAGGTAGCAAATCAATTTGTCAATGTAATTGACCTCTAAGGCTGTACCTTTTAAAGGTTCAAGGTTCCGTGCTAAGATATCGGAGACTCGCGACCACCATCTTCTCTGCTCTATTCCTTATACCAAAAAAAATACAACTCTCCAACCCTACTGCCTCCCGGCCTCAATGCTAGGCGATCCCGCTGGATCTTGGATCATCCAGGTTGATCTCTACACTATCCTTAGGGTTGGCATCACTCATGAGGGAGACGCTTGAAGGTGCTGGGGAAGCCGGGTCTGTAGAAGAAAGCTGGTCATCCATGCTAGGCCATGCCGTCTGTTCCTCAACCTTACTCAGTCGTTCGTTCAAGGCCTTCAGAGCTATTTGCCTGCAGATTTGAGAAAGTGTTGGGAGAACGATTCATGAAAAAAAAAAAAAAAAAAAACATGTTGAAGTGTTTTTTTTTCCTCAACTATGCAGCGTGCACGACTCAAAGCAGAAATTTGTTACATTTGTTTCATTTAGAAAATTAGAATAATCTATACCATTTGAACAATACCATACACAAGTTTAAGAGTCACAGATTTGTAGCTTCAAATCTAATTACACTATAATTATTTTATTAATTGTCAAGTTGAATATACACTTTCATCCTCGATCAAGAAGCACACTTGGCAATACTGTGTATTTTAAAGCCCCACTGCACTAGTTTAGCCAGGAGGGATTGGACCTCCCTGCAAGGTTACTGACAGGTGGTTATCTCATCAAATCAGCTCTCACTTAACATAAGAAAAAGAGGATCATGGGGAACCAATGGTCACCGATTAGGCATTGTTTGCTATATAGAGGGGGCAAGTAGCTATAATTTGTGCAGTTGGGCTTAAGCATCCTATCAACATGGACACGCTTACCTTCTTCTTTCAGCATCTGCAGGGTCTGTACCGGGTAGACTAATTGTGATTGGAGATGGTGCACCAACATCATATTTCCTTATTTGCTTCTTACACACCTTGATCTTTACTAGCACACTGTGAACTGTAAAAAAGAAAAGAATGCAAGACAAGGAAAAAGAATGGCCTTTTATCAGAGATAATTTGAGATGAGTAATGATAATTCATGATAACTAGAAATATCGCAATCTGTATTGCCGTGCAATGCGAATGTATCCCCCGGCAGTGGCAGCGATTTTGTGTTATCCTTATGTGGAAGGAGGGACAAAGATGATTATACCAAGATACACCTTTGTTCAAAATTTGAACAAAATCCCTTTAGAAATGTGGCCTATAGAGCGCACACAAACAAAATATGGCCTTGTACCCTATAGAAGGCGGAACACTGGGGGCAGCATCACCAAAAGTTATAGGTATGTAGATTATACCAGGATACACCTCCATACAAAATTTGAAAGAAATCCGTCAAGAAATGTGGCAGTTAGAGCGCACACTAGAGTGCACACAAGACATCTATCAAAATATGACCTTTGACCCTATAAAAGACGGAACATTGGAGGCAGCATCACTAAAATCTACAGGCTTGTAGATTATACCAAGATACACCTTCGTTCAAAATTTGAACAAAATCCCTTTAAAAATGTGGCCTATAGAGCGCACACAAACCATCCACAGAAATATGGCCTTGTACCCTATAGAAGACGGAACACTGGGGGCAGCATCACCAAAAGTTATAGGTATGTAGATTATACCAGGATACACCTCCATACAAAATTTGAAAGAAATCCATCAAGAAATGTGGCAGTGAGAGCGCACACAAGAATGTGACGCGGCGGCGGCGTAACGCTGCTGAATCCAAAGTACCCCACCGGCATACTGCCGGGGGATACAATTAAAGATAATTTGCTTTTTTAAAACTATAATTTCAATAATGTTCTGCATATAACTTAAAATCAAGTTTACAGTATGACCCTCAAAAAAAGGAAAATTACAATTTAAGTTTATTAGGCTAAATTACTTGATGATTCCTAATTAGTTTTGGTCATTACAGAGACGCCAAGTTCAAAGATCGGCAATGCGTGACATTTTCACGATTCGGCGCGATTGCGCGTGCGAGGGTATAACACATTATAAGGTATAGCGTTTTATCAAAATCTAGCCCGCGCGTCGTGCGTAAGAGCATTTTCAGACCCTCAAAATGTATGGGATTATAGGGACATAGTATGGGATTTATTGAGTAATTTACCATGCTACTTTGGTTTCCCTTTTTTCAGAGACACCCTCTCCGTTATAGTGAACACTGAACAGTGAATACAGTCAATTCAGCCATTGTAATGTGGTCAATCACTTCAAAGAGATGACCAGTATAAAGCACTAGAGGTTCTATTGTTCAATCCAGACTGCTTTTTTCCCCCTAATAACAATGTTTTGTTCAGAAGCCCTCTCCCTACATCAACATGTAAAGTATGTTTACTTATCCTCCTTGAGTAAACTTTTATGTTCGCTCTTTTACTTTTGTCTAAATTGTTCTAAGACCTGTGCATTGGTCATCTTGGTTGGAGTACCCATTGAATAAAAGAGAAGAAATGCCAGGTTGCAGTCCAGTTATTTTCTAGGTCCTTCCCAGGATTAGTAAAGCAAATCTCAGACAAGAACATGAATGCATTTTCAGCAGGTTCACTACAGTACCTGGTAAACATATCAGGGAAAAAGATATTTAAACAATTTGGGGGGCTACTTTTTAAGCTTGCTTGCATTAAAATTACACTCTTTAAATTGTTTTGCATTGAACTCTATTTTGGGGGCTTTTTTTAATGACTTTCGGAGGCTCTTTTGGGCATTTCGGGAGCCACCTCACCCATGCTCTTATCTATTTTTTCCCCTGACATGTAATATAAACACTAAGAGTCGTGAATACTGGTACATAAAAACTGGACTGTAACCAAACTGTCTTTTTACACAAGTAAAAGATCTACAGGAAAATCATTTATTCCTCTAGTAATTTACAACATACACTGTACATGTAGCATACCTTATTATACACATGACACACGGTACAGTTTTTGTTAAACTTGAAAGATTAATTCAAGAAATATAAATGGACATTTCAGGACTTGTTTTTTCCCCAAGGAAAAGTCAAAATCACCAGGCATGATATATCAATCTAATCCTTTAAAATTGTCACAGTTTAGGGTACAGTGTAAATGGTGATGGTCTCATCAAACATCATAGTACAGGTAATTAATAAATCAGTGAATCATTACACTTGATTTGAAATAGTATCAAGGAAAGAAATCATGGATTTTAACTTTGTCAGCATGCAGTAACACAGCAGATAGATACAGTGTTAAGTGTGAGAGGGAACATTTTTGATCGTTTTGTGACTGTATTCTCCAGATTAGCCCCTACAAGCCAAAAGCACATGAGGGATTATGGGATTATCATCTATTGAATGCCAGAAAAGTATTAAATCTGTATAATATTTTTAAGTTAACACCAATCCAGCTCTTAGCAGACAGTATGTGGATCAAATACAACATGAGGGTACCACTACCAGTGCATTTCAATGAACCATTATCATCATCTCAGTGGATGCATTGTTATGCTCATCACAAAGAACATTGAAGCTGTTCGCTATTCATGCATGTACAAATTAGATTTAAAACACTTCATAAACCTACATATATTGGTGCTGTCAAATATTATACAAATTTAGTACCACCATCATACTATCTTTTGTCCAAGAAAATACACTTGTTCTTGTTGCAAATGATATGGAAAAAAGTTTGTAAATGCTGGTCATACCACCAATAATTTGTCTAAAAATGAGATAAGAGAGAAAGCAAAAAGGTGCCTACCTTTTTGAATTACCCGGTATGGAGAAAACTATCTTAAAGGGTACACATGCACAAGTATGCTCATTTTCATTCAAGAATTCAAAAGGACTTGCAAAATTAGTGGAAACGAATAAAGATCTGTTTATGGTCAAGATTTTTTAACCCTATCTAAAACACTAAAAACTGTACATGGTACATTTGTTGTGTAGATATGTTTTTAAAAGTTGTTGGTATTATTATTTTCCCCTTTCCAGGTGGCAAATGGTCTGGTGTTTCTTACCCGTGTTTGCTAATATAGCAACAAATGGTCGAATAACCTCTGGGAAGAAGCTTGCAAATGAAAAAGTGTCGGCCATGTCTCCTCTGCTTCCATCTGTTTGTCGCTGGTAGAACCGAAGATACACCCATCCTGTCAACATACCTGATAAATAATGAAAAACTAATTTAGTAACATATTAATCATAGCAACATATCATAATTATAAATCAATCATTATAAATATGGGAGATCTTTGCCACTTTGAATTACCAGAGAAGATGAGGGTGCGACATCCAAATTAGAAATTTCTGTTGCAAATCTGCATCAAATTTGCATTATCCTGACAAGGGCCATATATAGGGGGAGGCACACATTTTTGCAGCAAAAAATATCCACATAATGCAAATTCAATCATCAATACTTTTTCAACAAATTTATGGCATAGATCTAATACTTTCAAAATCTGGACCACTAAATCTAAAAAATAAAGTAATATTCTAACTCAAATGACCTCAGCTCCTTTAATCAAATGCAATATGCCAGAGCAGAGCCAGAGGTGATAGATGGAGCTCCCCGCTCCCTTGACTTAGATTTACAGATAGGATTAAGGTCTAAACATGTCTGACTGTATTTTTGTAAATATTACTTATTAGAATTTTGATCTGTATAAAGTGAAACCAAATTAAATATTGACCCTATTTTCACGAAGTGACGGTAGTGAGGACTGAGGAGACTCGCATACAATTTGCATGGCGACTTTCCTCACTACCTACCGTCACTTCGTGAAAATAGGAACGATATATTGAATTTCGATATTGAAAGCACCTGTTAATATCATGAACGGATGTGTGGGTGGTACTATTCCTATAAACCGAAGCAAAAACGATGATACAAGGAGCAAAACTGGAAGATGGTGCACTCTCAATCTTGCCACTTTGGGAGGCAATTCCCCATCTCCCATCGACTGTTTGAGAGCGATGGTCACTGCTCCTGCATAACCAGCGAGTCCAAATATGTGTGTATCAAAAAGGTATGTAATATTTACAGTTGATAGGTACATAAACAAATAAAGAAATGAAGTTATGATCGCTGAACCAACTGTTACAATAGCGAAGAAAATCAACATTTCTAGTGCACTCCACAGAGGTTCGATGAGTCTGCCACATAATAACACAAGAGCCACGTCGTGGAGAACAAGCCACAAATGCACTTCAATAAACGGGTGTGTAAACAACGTCCAGACGCGAAAACTTGGTGGAAATATGAGGCCTGGAGTTACTGCAAGAGCTTCCAAATACTTGTCATTGTTAACCAGGAACGATATGAAATATAGAAAAATGATCACACCACAAATTGATTTCACAACAACGCTGCTTTTCATGAAAACAGCCTGAATCTGCTGCACTCCGACAGGAGCAGTAGTGGCCGAGGTAGCCATTTTTACTGTGTTGGCCGAAATGACGTTTTTTAGTCTGGCTTACAGTCACTTATTTGTTAAAAAAAAAATGAAATAAATTTGACGGGGGTCTTCCCAAAAATATCTAAATCTTGTTTTGATTCCAATCGTAATGGATAAAAGGTACAATAATTTAGATCTAGATATAATGACTGGTTTTAATTCCACAATAGTTTGGTAATAGTAGAAATGTTGACGATTATACATACATAAGGCTGCAATCGAAACTACAACGCAGCTGCAATATTCATAGCCAACCACCCCCCTCTTTACTCTCCTCATTCTCGCTGGTGTCAGCTGCCTCCCTCTCTCTCTCTGTCTCTCTCCTCTCTCTGTCTCTCTTCTCTTACTCCTTTTCTCATTCCAGGCCTCTTACCCATCTCACATATTGGCCCAATTTACTTAATTTTAGTAGGCATTTACATGCATTACTGTACATTAATCTTGATTGCATTAAGCAGGGCCGTAGCCAGAGTTTGATGTTTGGGGAGGGGGGGGGGGGGGGGGGTGGGGGGGGGGGGGCACATACATGTAATTGATCGACTTCTTGGGGAGAGATATACAGAAAGTTCAACCGATCTTGGAAATTTAGGGGGGCATGTGCCCCCTCCCCCCCCCCCCCCTCGTGGCTACATGCCTGTGCATTAGATAATCAATTAGTCTTAATCAGGTGCAGATTCAGGATTTCTCAGGGGAGGGGGACGAAAAGTAGCTCAGTGGGGGGAGAGGGGGTAGAGGGCACTATTTTTTAAATTTTTTTTTTTGCTTCCAAAAATTTGACAATTCGCGCCGGCCGAAAGGTCGCTCAGTGGGGGAGGGTAGGGTAGTGAGCACTTTTTTTTTTTTTGCCCTCAAAAATGTGAAAATTTGCACCCCCCCCCCCCCCTTGAGCGCCAAGGGGGGGGGGGCCACTCCCCCCAAAAAAGCTAAAAAATCACGTGTTTTTACATGTTTTTTTTCCCAGGAGGGGGGGGGGGGGCCTGGCCCCTTGGGCCCCCCTGGATCTGCCACTGGTCTTAATTGATATTCACCCTCGTTATTATCGCCATCCCCCATCATCATCTTCCTCATCCTCATATCAGTAGGGCTGTCTTTTCATTTGAAATTTGATCTGAGATTTGGCCACAAGAATAATTTTCCATTTATTTCTCCAATTTCCATGCAGCATCACTCCCAATATTTTGAACAATTAATGGATTCAGTTTCCCCAATATATTTCTTTGTCTTTATGATCACAACAAGGCCGAAACAAAGAGAGATGTTGTATTGCCCTTTAGAAGCCTGAATCTGGGTCGATTGGTAGGATTTTTTTTAAAAATAATTTTGTTTTCTTCCCCCTCATATTAAACAGCAAACGTTGCCCTAAAAAACTAAAAAACGGGAACGTCGCCTAAATAAAAAATGCTGGTTTCTAGCTGGTGCAGTGCATGGTATACACACGTACACGAGGCAGAGGTCTACTTGTTTATGCTAGCAGGATTACGAAAACTAGGGCAGAAGACCAGTGAGAATTACAGGAGCAATTTGATGATTTTATGCATTTTTATCCCATTTAAACAAACAAACAGAATACATATTTTATTATTCATTCAAAATTTTATTTATAAAAGAACGGTACCAAAAAAAAATGTATTAAAAAGCTGAACAAAGATTTTAAGATTTTTTATGCCTAACCACTTATTACAAAAAGAAAGTGTTCCTCATTGAACAGAATTTCTCAATCAATCCATCCAATTCACTGCCAGATGTCCGTCCGTCTCTCTCTCTTTCTCTCTCTCTGTCTCTCTCAGTCGCCCCCCCCCCCCTCTCTCTCTTTGAAATACTCGGCATCCAAATGAAAATGGTCTGCAAAATCTTCATCTTGACAGAGATGCATTCATTTCATTCGCATAAGTTATTAAACCATGTACTTACACATCACATCATAATTCAGACAACTAAAACAGCTAAAAATTAGCAATCCAACAATGATTTTCTTGGTGTATCATGGCAGTTGATTTATGCATATCAATGTGACAAAATGACAAAAGCACATTATATTCTTATTGAGATAATATATAAAAACAAGTCTATGTACATTATTGTGTTCCTTGATCATATGGCTAAAATACTGTGTAAGCCTACATTCCACTTGTGTTTCACTATGAACACCACAGACAAAGAAAACGGACAAAATATACAGTTCCTCAGGTAGACAAAGGAACATCCCTTCACTGCAATTATGTAAAAAGGTGAATATGCATGTGACACCTGTTTTACACATTTTTACATAATAGCAGTGAAGGGATATTCCTTTGTCTACCTGAGGAACTTATATTTTGTCCGCTTTCTTTGTCAGTCATATTCACAGTGTTTTCAGCTTAAATGGTCCATTCAGATTTTGGCACATCTGTTACACAATATTACATTTTCAAAATTCAAGTTTGGAGAGAATGCCAATTCCTTTCTTGGCTTCAAATGTAAATGATTTTATAGTGATACTGAAGGATGATTTCTAACCCCAAAGGAGTTTAAGAAGCCACAGCCAACTTTCCAAGTAAGAAAATATCCACATAATGGAAATATCTATGATTGAATGAAGTTAGAAAAAATTATATATTTGATATCTTTTCTACCATTATATCCTACAATTATCTAAAGATAAGGCAACGTGATATTCTTGTCAATACCAAATTAAAGATTTTGTGCCTCAACCTGGACCTTTTCAGTTAAACCTGATTTTGTTAAACTGTGTAAGCAACAGCGCCAGCTATGACAAAGGTCCGAAGAAGCTTGCAGCACGGCAAGTAAAAGCTTACTGCAAAAATGAAAATTTCTACTGATTTTAAAGAACAAATTTTCACTTTCACAATTTTCAGGAATTTTTATTTTGCTGTCACCAACACAAGAATGATGTGTATTCTAAAATAACCTGGATTGAAGCATATTTCATCAAAATTGAAAGCAACCAACACTTTATATACAGTACTTGTAGAAGGCCCCGCAGCCCCTGCTATAACTATTTTGAAGAAAAAAAATGTCTCCTCAGTGTTTCATCTCCTGTCTAATTAATATGCAAATTACCTTTTAAAATACATTAACGGTGACTATATGTACAAATTATAATTTAAAACACAGTAGTTTGTCAGTAAAAAATTCAATATTTACAGAATAAATAGTCATTCACACACAGTAAAAATATGCTATTCACATTACCGGTACACATTTTGTAAGAGCACTGAGAGTATATTCCCTTTTTAAAAACTGCAAAAGTCTCATGCTTTACTGTTTGGAGTAAAAACTGCAGCATACAATAACATTATGAGGAAGTACAAATAGGTACATTTTTTCATTTTTAAAATCTGCAGTATCAATTATCAAAATCGTTGTCAGTAGTTAGTTGCTGTCATAGCTAATTACAGATTGCGCATACAATTAATTAAAGAGGCCAATGTATATCAATCTTATCTTAGATCAACATTACTTGGAAGGAAACCACATATGTCACATGAACTTGTCTGTTATTCATGTTTGTCTCAGGATGCATTGGCATGAGTTCAGAAAAACAGTATTTTTTTCTATGAAAAGAGAGAAAGTGAGAGAATCGTTCAAGACTGTCAATTACTAAAGGTACGTGTGAGCTTTGAATAATAATAATAATAATAGCTTGTTCTTATATAGCGCTTTTCAGGACCGGAGGCCCTCACAAAGCGCTTTGCAGATAAGTATATTATTACCCCGGTCATTGGATTCAGGCTTACCCGCACACAATGTATGCACATTCTCCACTCCCTGGGGAGCATTCCAGCCAGGCGTCATTTTTACATGCGCACACTTGCTAATCTAACCACATTAGCTTTCGCATCCTACCGGGTACCCATTTAACACCTGGGTGGAGAGTGGCAAATGTAGATCAATGTCTTGCCAAAGGACATTAGTGCTGCGGCGGGACTTGAACCACGGACCTTGCGATCCACAGTCCGGCGACTTATCCACTCGTCCACAACACCTCTATAACTGAATAACAAGTCTAAGCCAACATTGAAATTACGTGATGTAACATCTACTTGTTTCTATAAACCTTCCCCAATCTTGAAGTCACACTTCCTTGACGTGGCAATTTTGTATCAATTCAAACTATATAGCCCATATCTCTTGCCTAATAGGGTTTTACAATACACGGTTATCTTGCTTTCATACTGCATCATACCTGCCAACATTTGCAAATGAGAATTAGGAATTTTTAGCACGGTATGTCTTTGAAAATAAGAAATCTGTACCCTTTTCAGGCGTTCGCACATGCAGCGGCAGTGTAACTGGCAATACGTGGTAAATCTGAGCAAAAAGCGAATACAAATTCGCTGCTCAATCATGCAGCCCTTCAACGCACGCAATATGTGAACTCTCACATCGCGGCACTTGATAAAACAAACTTAATTATAGGCTTAAGCAACAAAAACAAAAAACCCAGCAAAACAGAATATTCCAGATTATTTGTAAGGGTTGGCAGGTATGCTGCATGCATCAAAGCAATAGTATTAGGGTGCGTTTAATCGACACTTTTTCACCCTAGAATCACGGTTTCTAAAGACGTTTAGTTTAAAACGCAATGCGTTCAAGCGATTTTTTCGTCGGTCGTAAAAATAAACGTGTTTGAAAACACAAACATGAAACGCTGAAAAAGATGCGTTTTGTATCATGATTCAAAAGAATCACGGTCGCTAAAATTCGATTGAACGGACGGAGTTCTCAATCATGATTGTATGACGAAGCCTCTTCCGGTTTGGGAAAAACCGCGCGCCCGCTTTGCATGCAATTTGCGTTCACTATACCATCGTGGCCTGTTCCGTTATGTTATTCATTGTTTTTCCTTCTATCATTTTCTCTTTCTGTCTTTCCTTATGTTATTCTTTGTTTCTTCCTTCTATTCTTATGTTATTCTTTGTTTTTTTTCCTTCTATCACCTTTTCTTATGTTATTCTTTGTTTTTATCATTCTATCATTTGCTCTTTCTGTCTTTCCTTATGTTATTCTTTGTTTCTTCCTTCTATACTTATGTTATTCTTTGTTTTTTCCTTCTATCACCTTTGCTTATGTAATTCTTTGTTTTTATCATTCTATCATTTTCTCTTTCTGTCTTTCCTTATGTTATTCTTTGTTTCTTCCTTCTATTCTTATGTTATTCTTTGTTTTTTTCCTTCTATCACCTTTTCTTATGTTATTCTTTGTTTTTATCATTCTATCATTTGCTCTTTCTGTCTTTCCTTATGTTATTCTTTGTTTCTTCCTTCTATACTTATGTTATTCTTTGTTTTTTCCTTCTATCACCTTTTCTTATGTAATTCTTTGTTTTTATCATTCTATCATTTGCTCTTTCTGTCTTTCCTTATGTTATTCTTTGTTTCTTCCTTCTATACTTATGTTATTCTTTGTTTTTTCCTTCTATCACCTTTGCTTATGTAATTCTTTGTTTTTATCATTCTATCATTTTCTCTTTCTGTCTTTCCTTATGTTATTCTTTGTTTCTTCCTTCTATTCTTATGTTATTCTTTGTTTTTTTTCCTTCTATCACCTTTTCTTATGTTATTCTTTGTTTTTATCATTCTATCATTTGTTCTTTCTGTCTTTCCTTATGTTATTCTTTGTTTCTTCCTTCTATACTTATGTTATTCTTTGTTTTTTCCTTCTATCACCTTTTCTTATGTAATTCTTTGTTTTTATCATTCTATCATTTGCTCTTTCTGTCTTTCCTTATGTTATTCTTTGTTTCTTCCTTCTATACTTATGTATGTTATTCTTTGTTTCTTCCTTCTATACTTATGTAATTCTTTGTTTTTATCATTCTATCATTTTCTCTTTCTGTCTTTCCTTATGTTATTCTTTGTTTCTTCCTTCTATTCTTATGTTATTCTTTGTTTTTATCATTCTATCATTTGTTCTTTCTGTCTTTCCTTATGTTATTCTTTGTTTCTTCCTTCTATACTTATGTTATTCTTTGTTTTTTCCTTCTATCACCTTTTCTTATGTAATTCTTTGTTTTAAGCATTCTATCAATTTCTCTTTCTGTCTTTCCTTATGTTATTCTTTGTTTCTTCCTTCTATCATCTTCTCTTATGTTATTCTTTGTTTTTATAATTCTATCACTTTCTCTTATGTTATTCTTTGTTTTAATCATTCTGTTATTTTCTCTTTCTATCTTTCCTTATGTTATTCTTTGATTCTTCCTTCTTTCACCTTCTCTTATGTTATTCTTTGTTTTAATCATTCTATCACTTTCTCTTTCTGTTCTTCCTTATGTCATTCTTTGTTCCTTCCTTTTTCACATTCTCTTTCTGTCTTTCCTTATGTTATTCTTTGTTTCTTTCTTCTATTTTTATGTTATTCTTTGTTTTTTCCTTCTATTACCTTCTCTTTTGTTATTTTTTGTTTCTTCCTTCTATTCTTATGTTATGCTTTGTTTTTTCCTTCTATCACCTTTTATGTAATTTTTTGTTTTAAGCATATTCTATCACTCTCTCTTTCTGTCTTTCTGTCTTTCCTTATGTTATTCTTCGATTCTTCCTTCTTTCACCTTCTCTTATGTTATTCTTTGTTTTAATTATTCTATCGACTTTATCTTTCTGTCTTTCCTTATGTTATTCTTTGTTTCTTCCTTCTATCACCTTCTCATTCTTTGTCTTATTATTGCGATCTATGCTCAAAACAGCAGTCGACAGTCGGCCGTAAACAATTCCAGAAAGCGCGCGCCGAAGTTCCTGGGCCATACTGCGCAGTGTGATGCGCAGTGGTTTGGCTCGCAATGAGCTAGAATCAGCGTTGATGAAAAATCGCTTGAACGCAAACCGCAGTGACCTTGCTTTTTGTAACGGCGTTTTGAATTGTGATTCATGTTTGTGATTCTAGCTTCGAAAATTCGATTGAACGCACCCTTAGATATGTCATGCATCACTTATTCATAGGTATATAATTATTAGGACGGTACACACAATAACTACCACAAATCATTTTCAATAAATAAAACGCATCTGATATCCGGTATAACATACATGTATATTCAAGTCTTTATAGCTTTTATCTGGTAAGAGAATTTCAGGTCTAAAATCAAATTCATTTGATAAATCAAGGTGATTGAATTTAAAAGTTCAAGTGTTGTGCCTTATGCTATTTTTCACGAGGGCACTCCATACTATCATTAAGCTTCCTTTTTCTTCAAAGTTTGGACATTGCATCTAAAGATCAAGGACATCCATGCCACTCCCTTCTGGGGATAGGGCGCGGTCCTCATTCTCATTGTCCATCTCAGATCTAGCTGTAAGGGGTACACTCCCCATCCCTCCACCCCCTCCTCCTCCTACTCCCCCAGGCAGGGCATCCATCTGTAGCCTCTGGTTGTCACTAAAGATCAAGGACATCCATGCCACTCCCTTCTGGGGATAGGGCGCGGTCCTCATTCTCCTTGTCCATCTCAGATCTAGCTGTAAGGGGTACACTCCCCATCCCTCCACCCCCTCCTCCTCCTCCTCCTCCCCCTCCCCCCAGCAGGGCATCCATCTGTAGCCTCTGGTTGTCACTAAAGATCAAGGACATCCATGCCACTCCCTTCTGGGGATAGGGCGCGGTCCTCATTCTCCTTGTCCATCTCAGATCTAGCTGTAAGGGGTACACTCCCCATCCCTCCACCCCCTCCCCCTACTCCCCCCAGCAGGGCATCCATCTGTAGCCTCTGGTTGTCACTAAGCTCCTCAAGGCGGCTACGGATCACCGAGAGATCATGATGGTGCTAATAAAAGAAGAAGAAAAAAAATAGGAATAAATGGGTAATAGATAAATGAATTTATACTGGATAAATGAATTTAGGTTTAACTTGTGAATCATTCCTCGACGTAACTTGTACTACTGACAAGTGACAAGTTGGTTCCATTATTGGGTCCTATGCTTTCCAACTGATAACATCTATACAATTGTAAGAAGAAAATATGAGACAAAGAGAGAGAGAGAGAGAGAGAGAGAGAGAGAGAGAGAGAGAAAAGAGAGATAGAGAGGAAAGATAGAGAGAAAGAGAGAGGAGAGAGAGGGAGAGAGAGAGAGAGAGAGAGGGAAGGAACATGCCATGTATGTTGTATGAGACTTGCTCATTCAACAATTTCTCCCGTCAATATCCTAAACTAACCAAATTACGATCCTCAACCCTGGACCCAAAACTTTATACCCAGGATGGTCCACAAAGAAAAGATTTGGACTTGCGACTGTTAAAACTTACAGCAAACATGACAAGCACTGATCTGCCCTGGGCCTACAGGGGTTCTTAGGTGCTCTCAGATGCACTCTGAGCCATTTTTAAATTCATGACTAATATTTTTAAAACAATTTTGGCCACTGCTTATTTCCAAACCTGTCTTTTAAAAGTTCAAATCTGTTTATGTTACATGTAAAAAAAACACCTTGTGGACCACCCTACTATACTATCCCTAGCCCTAAACACAACCTAAACAAACTCAAGTGCAGCCTTAACCCCAACCCTTTAATTGGTTCCAATGTCCTCTGCTTTTCATCTGATAAAATGTACAAGATAATTAGAAGAAAAATTGAGAAGAGAGGAAATCTAACAATAAATGTATTCAAATTTCAAGCATTTTAATAAGTCATTAAACCATGTACTTACAGTCTTACCGTACACATCACATCACAAGACAAGTGCATGATATATCTTTTTTTTAATGTGCATACCGGTATACTGTGCCCTGGGAGGGGGTATGCTTGAATGTAATTAATACATATAATAAATATAGTGCATTTGACTATAAGTATCCCAAATCGTAAGATACATACTTCTCTCCCTTTCATTACAACAAAAACACCAAAAATGTGCAATGATTATTTACAAGGCACTTGACATGTAACAGTGATATATGTAATGAATAATGCATTCAAGACTGTTGTCATCCTAATCGATCAAATACTTCAATTTTCAAACCACAAATCCTATGATACCATGTGTGCAGATATTAGGTGAGGTGAAAACACACACAAACAACAAAGAATAATCTTGTGTTTGGGAAAATGTGTGATTAAAGAATCTGAAATATTAAAACGTGCATACAATTGAAAGGATTTAAAAGGGGGAATACAAATTGTGAAAGAGGAAGGGCCATAGAGGGAGTCCCATACAGACAAAATTACAGATTCCCATTAAATATACAGGTTGCTTGTTCTTCTCAATGCCTCACAGCAAATTAAAATCCATGCTATAAATTGATAAAAGCACATAATGAAAACAGTCAGGGTTTTTTTTTTTACAAGAAAGCCATAAATCTGTAGGCAAAAGATATTTCTCAAGGCTTTTGTATACCATGTCCAGATATAAGCGTTATTGAATCAGGAAAAAAACAGTTTGAGAACATTCCATCTGGCTAGTAGCCATTATTATTTATATTATTCAACCACCACCTCTAAAAATGCCTCAGAATGCAATCAAAACTGGTTGGTAGGTGCCAGGCAATAAAATGATTCTTTTTACCCCCATCTTGTTGGTCGATACTGGATGTATTTGGATTTGTGGAATTTGAAACCGGATTGGCTAGAAATAACAACACAATACCACTTATAATATTGATCAACTTATATACTGACAAGCGACAACAGATGTGTGGGTTTATGCACTAGTAGGGAATATCCTATCAGTGTCAGAAACATCTACATCGATTTCTTACAAACAGCCACATGTATATATATCCCATAATTTACAAAAAATTTCAATTTAGCAACTCTGATTTCGATTGGATGCAAAACAGGTACCGGTTATTCATCTTTTAACCTTATACTAAAAATCATACTAAAGAGAATAAATTTGGAGCTTCTCTTCTTAAATGTGTTATGCATAAATTTGAATTTCTACTTCATTTCTTGATGAGTTTAGTACCGACAACATTACATCAAAATTATCAAAATCCATTAAACATTGTCTCTTGATTTGTTATCGCTTCAGTACTAAATAGCATTTGAAATTGTTACCTATGAGTAGTTTGCTGTTCAAGAATATAGCACATGTTAATGTAATACAGGACCACAGGTTTTGAACTGTGTTCTTCGTAGAAAAATGGTCTTTCTATAAAGGTGGTTGTGAAAGTAGGTGTCCATGAAAACAAAACATTAAAGGGATTGGGTATCTTTGCCTCTGATTCTAAACAAAATCCTGGATTTAGCTCATGCTGCAATCATAATTATAAACCTTCAGGACATTCAGGTATCCCATGAATTTTTCAAGCCGATGGCCTACTGATCATCAAGATATTTGTGATTGGAGTTTGAAATTATAAAAAACGTTTTCCCAATGGTTTTTATAACATTACAGTCTATTGGGGGGAAAGGAGTATGGTAAAACTAGTCGCTCAAAGATTTTTACTTTTTTGAAGCACTTCATGATCATTTTGAAGCGCAATTTGTTTGGGGCTTCAATATTACACCATATCACAGACATTAATAACACCTAGGGCCATGCATCTCAGATTTGTAAAGTGGAAACATTTGTTTAACAATGCCTTTAAAAATACATATATATTTAGCCCTCCACAGGCTACTTAATTGGATAAAGTCAAAATAACAAAGAAACAATCATAAAGTTACATATGTTGACTGACTTGGTTACAAGGTGGTTCCTTAATTTTTTTTGCACAAATAAAAATTGAATTGACCGTCATTTAATAACAATTTTTCTATACATACCAGATAAATTATCTTTCATCGTCATAATATTAAACCACTTTTTTTCTTCATTACACCAAATATAGGAATCTAGCTGTCGTTCAGCTTTTCTGAGAAAATTTGATTAAAAAAAACATGTAGCACCAACCAACCTGTGTTGTTTTAAATGGACTAGATGCATCCAAGGGCTGTGTCATAGACGGAGTCATGAAAGAGACCCCTCCCAAGGGTACCTGAGACACGTTGGCTGAACTCAGTACGTTCCGGAATTCATTGTGCCTGCGCTGGAGTTCCCTTAACTTTCTTACTGCCTTGGTGTACGTCTCTTTGGGTATCTGATTCCTGAAAGATTTGTATACATTGGTTTATATGTTAAAAGATATCGCTCTTATTCTGAGTCGTTTGGGACACACAAATTACCCCTAAATTGACATAAATGATATCTGTGACTCATAAAAGCAATCCTCATCAAGCTGTGATAAGTCATGTATAGATTGTGTACCTACAGAAGAGATGATAGGATTTATAACACTATAATGGCAAACTGTAAAAACAACAAAATCAGCTAAAATTGATCAAAACAACAACACATTTCAATCAGAACCTACATGTACGCATGCATCTGACCGATTTGTACAGTACCCCATTAACAAACTTATAAAAGTTACAGTATACAGAATATGAGAACCCCCCCCCCCCCCTGGCCCCACCCCTTTTCCTTTTTTGGAGTGCAGTCTTTGATTACAACAACTGAGCAAACAATAACAAAGTTTATGTCATAAATCATCTGACAGGCTATGCCAAACTTTTTTGATGACCCCTACATGATCACACAGGAAAAACAAATTATCAAGTTCCTCGCTATTTTTTTGCTATCTATCCCACTCAAGAAAGACACTTCCGGACAAACTTTCGTTGTCTGTAAATGGATGATGAATACGTCAGGCAGTACGTGCCATATTTGGATGCTTTTGGTTTGATAGTTGCACGTAGCTCAACTTATTGCAGTCACTTGTTCATCAGCCACTTCGCAAGTAAGCTAGAGTTCTATGTTTCCTTACAATATAGTAGGCAAGCTTTGGTCCACTCCTGTGGATTTTCTCAAGCCAAGTGATCATTCAGACAATTTCTTTGCTTTCTGCTGCCTTGAGATCACTGGACCAAAGATAAGTGATAATGAATAGCCAGAGTCCCTATTCAGTGAGGGATTAATCCTTTTTTATCCACATGGATTCTTTCCGCTTTCTTGGAACAGGAGTGTATTCTGAAGTCCATGCTTCATCCCATTACAATGATGTGTCCAGTATTAAGGGTGTGTCTTGCTATTCATTGTCACTATCTTTGGTCCAGTGATCTCCCGGCAGCAGAAAGCAAGAAACTGTGTGAATGATAACTTGACTTTGCTTGAGAAATCCACAGGAGTGGCTGTAAGCTTGCCTACTAAATGTTAAGGATGGTAGAAGCTTCAACTACATGTTAACAGCCATATATGGAGGCCTGGATCTTGGTGGTTTCAAGCTCATCGATAGGTCACCAATGTATTAACATTGAACAAGATTTTGAGGAGCTGGTACTATAGTGAACCATGGATCCACACTGCATAGTCCCAATGTCGAGGCTTATCATCATAGCTGCACTGATGAGGCTTTGCTCATGTTCGACTGTGCAGGGTAGCATTTTGAGGAGTCTAACAACCAACAAGCCTCATTATCTTGAACATGAAACTGCCATGATAACTGCATCGTTCATGCTTCCTACAAACAAATCAATGTCGGATTACATCTTTATGTGGTCAGTTGGACACCCTGATGGAGAAACACCATTCATTGAGGAGACAAGGTATATCTACAAACACAGCAAAATTGGAGATATCGACCGCTTTGAGATTTCCATTAAAAATCACAGCTCTACCAGAGGGTCTATAAAGATTGTAATCCACGACCTTCGGTTAGAGGATCATCGGGAAATCAAACTTTCTGTGTTTGCTAGAGACCCCAAAGTAGAGATTTTACACGAGTTTATTGAAATTCGTGTGGATCCACAGGAAGCTACTACTACATCAAAACAGGTAACATTCATGCTTTGTTTTTATAATGAAACGTTGTAATTGTAATGTCTATAAACAACATATTATTTACGGTACTAGTATCACTACGGTCTATTATATTCCATGCAAATCATCATCATCTTCATCATCAATAATCAAAGGTAGCATTTTCCCTCTTATGAGGGGTTACTGACTTTCACACCATGATGACACCCCCCTCCCTCCACTTCCTCTTGTCTTGACCATCCTCCTCATGTAAACCAACCTTACTGCTTTCTTTCTTCGTCATATCTACCTGTGAAATCTTTGGTCTTCAATTCCCTCTTTTATGGCATTCACTTTCGGATCCCATGCTTTTTTCACAGGTTCATCATCTTATCTTTTCAATCCACTTCTCTTTATCACTTCCACCATAATTTTTTCCAGGTCCAACCATTCCATAAGCTCACTTGCGTTTCTTTTCTGTTGGACTGTTTTACACCATACATCTTCCATATCATGGCTCATTCTGTTCCTCTCAAGAAACCTGCTCTTGATGTTAAATGTAAATATGCTAGTATTTGTTTTATACTTCTGCGATGGATTTAAATACTAGTGGGGAGTGGAATTGAATTGAATTGAGCTGGATTGTAGAGAATTAAAGTTAATTGAATTTAACTGAGCTGAAATGAACTGAACTGAAAGCTGCAACTCATATCACTATAAAGGAAAATCCAACCATAACAAAACAAGTACTCTACATTAAAAAGTCAATTTTTAAACATGTATGATTCCGGAAGGTCTTTTCATTTTAGAGGATCTGTAATAATATGCTATCCATAATGTATTTGGAGTACCTAGTGTTCCAAGGGAGAACGCACTTAGGAGGGGGGAAGAAGGTTATTATATTTTTGTACTCAGCAAACAGGAGAGTTGTCCCATGACTATGTCACAATCCACTGCCAATTTGAGAATCATATGGATTTAGTGATATCATATTTCAAGCATTCATAATTCCCTGTTTCTCTTATATTTATTCATTTATTGCTTCCATATCAATTAAGTTATCACAAGGGTTGGATTGCCCTTTAAAGGTAACGTATCCCTTATGCAGCCAACATCAAACTCTGTAGAACTTTGCAAGAGTTGTGAATATGTCAGGTACCGTTATGTCCTATCTGTGAAATTCAAACGACAGCAGTGTCCTATTATTCAAATTATGCAAGGAAACCTGTTTACTTTCTAGACTTCACTGTCAAACACTAGTGAGTGACTGACTGACTTCTTTTTTTGGTAATAACATACATAAAATGAGCTGTAAAGGGTACATTAATAAATGTCCACATCAATAACCCACTTCTTGTAACAAAACGTACGACCATTCGGTACAAGAGTCTGATAATCAGACTACGGTATTTAATTAATCAAGTACTCACTTAATTCGATTCAACAACTAACAGTCGTTGTTTTCAAGCCCTTCTGTTTTGAGGGAAGTTCTTAATTAGTATTATCTTTCAAATGCCATTACAATTTGACATTTTCATTTCTTTTGGCCTACAAATTTGACATACTACCTTTAAAGGTACTATGTCCTATTTCCAGCCAAAGACTTATGAATGTGTCCTATCTGTGAAAGTTAAACCTTAGCAGTGTCCTATTATTCAAATCATGCAAGGAGACCCGTTTACTTTCTAGACTTTACTGTCAGACATTATTGAGTGACTGACTGACTTCTTTTTTTTCCTTTGGTAATAACATACATAAAATGAGCTGTAAAGGTAAATGAGCATTTGTCTACATCAATAACCCATTTCTTGTAATGGCCAAAATTAAACTGTTTGAATCTTCGCGCAGCACAAAACATATAACCATACTGGCTCTATAGCTCTTAAGTCGACTTGACAACTAACAGTCGTTATTTTCCCACTTTTGGCCTGCAAATGGGACATAGTATCTTTAAAAAAGAAGGGTTTGCATTTATATTATTACTTTGAAATGAAAAAGAATACTGTAATAACTCCATATGTTTTGAAATAAAAGAGATTGTGATTATTATTAATTTTTTTTAAATTCAGTCTACTTCTTCTTCACTCTATTTGACAGGTTGGGGGCAACGTTTCCCCTGAAACCGAATCAGATGCGACCGCCTCCACCCTGCCACCATCCACCACAACTACCGCACCTCTGGGAAACATCAAAATGTGGATTCCTTTAGGACTCATCTTTTTTCTCATTCTACTTCTCATATTTCTGAAGTTCTACACTTATGTAAATCAACCGTATAATACATGTACATGTATCAGGGAAGACGCAACATTGGTGAATTCATCTGCTACCAGCACTTCAGAGTCTCAACACACTCTCCCTTTTCAAACTTTTATAAAATCCATTGTCAGAGGAAATGGTTTCAAAACTTGACATACAAAGACGATGTTCTTATCATGTTAAAGGTAATACAAAGTTTTGGAAAATTTTGAAAATGGCTGGATAGCGATTCTTTAAAATGTTGATATATTTGGATGCCCCTGAGGATGTTCTATGAGCACTAGAAAATTTAGCCCCTAAAAAACTTCTGCTTTCGAGAAAAATTTAATATAAAAATTTACCGGTGCTCCGGGTAAATTGTGATAAATTTCTAATAGCTTATATGGCCATCCAATGGTAGCTGCGACCATGAAAATCTCAGAATATGCAGTAGTGATATATAATTTCCAAACGGGAATAGCAATTCGGTCAATTTTAGTCAAGAAACATTGTTTTAAAGCTAAATTAATATCTTGACCTTGAGAGGGAGCTCTACAACATAAAGATTTTATTATCTACAATTTCATCACTTAAGACTCAATTTCAACCACGACAACGATCACTGAATATTGTAGGATCGCATATGCTTCCAATATGTTCATTTGAACCAAATTCATGACCCTATACCAAAACTTAGTATTACCTTTAAGGAAGTAGCCCTTCCCTCCAGTAATTCATAGAAAGATATGAAATATTGAAAAGAGAATACTGGGCATCATTTCACAAAACTGTCTGTACAAGTACAAGTTTCAATAGGATGTCGGTGAACAAATGACCATGTTGTGAAACCCTGCCAAGATTTCCTAGGCCGTCAATCATGGCCTTGTTTCATAAAACTTGTTATCAATAACAAGTTACGATGATTGTTATAAGCTACTGAAATCCTTGCATTTGATTGGCTGTGAGCAGAGTTGTCAAAGATCTGTAACAGTTGTTATTGATATCACATCTTATGAAACAGGGACCTGGTTGTAGACTCACCAGAGGCAACTAGTGATAGTGATAGTGGTGGTTATTTTACCTGACAGCTAAGAAAGCAATAAATGCTCGTTAGTAAGCAACCAGGAGACCGACGGCTTAAGGTCCTCTTCGAGGGACCTGGTAATGAGGATTAACTCTTATCCTGCCACAGGGCTAATCCCCAATGTGCTAAGCCACAAATCCCCCAAGTGCCAAATTTATAAGAGATAATCGGATTAATGCGATGGTACTACCAATAGCGCGTGCAAAACACTAGGCACAGTCCAATGGGCATGAACAATAACTGCTATTACATAATGCGTGCAATCATGCAAGAAGCAGAGTAACAGTAGCGTGTACAAAGCACTATAACAATAGCGTGCATGCAGCCTTATGGCAGGCTATGAGTTAATGCCTTACCAAAGGGCACTAGCGCATTGATTTGGTTTCAAACCCGGGTCACCGGATAACGAGGCCACTGCTCTACTGACTGAGCTATCGCGCCTCCTCGAATAGCCTAGAAAAGCATGTCTTTACCCAGTCCATGACCGAATTAGATTAGCATTGAAAAAAAAGACTCCTTCATGCATGTACATAAAGGCTCATTAACATATCACTTAATGCAAGCATTAAATGCTTCACATTTATATATTTTACAACAAACACGTAGTAATTACGTGTAGGACCTTTGTTGCATACAGAAACTTTTTTTCATCCCCACTTGTTCACTGCAGTTTCCTACATCATATGTCAATGAGCCATTATTTTGTAGTGTACAAGGTGTAAAACAATAGGCCTACTGTTGAACCACTTTAGGCCAAATAAAAAAAAAAACATGTTTAGCGTCCTGTTTTTTTGAAAAATAGGAAGGAGGAGGCCTTTTTTTTTTTTTTTTTTCTTTCAAAATGGCCGCTCAAAAAATTTTTTCAAGATGGCCGCCGACAATTTTTTTTTTTTTTTAAATCAAGAATAGAGCCATTTTAGCAGTGTTTTTCATGTTTTTTTTCTTTAAAAAAAAAAATTAAAAAAAAAAAAAAAATTAAAAAATTTCAAAAAAAAAAAAAAAAAAAAATAGGAGGCGGCCCCCAAAAAGGAAGCGGGCGGGGATGCTAAACATGTATATTTTTTTAAATGGCCTTATGGTGCATCATTGGCTAGTACAATCAACAAAATATCCCCCTTAATTCATTACATACCAAAACTATTTCAGCATATACATGTATAATATACCTTAATAGCTCAATGTAAACTTTATCATTTTGAGATCAGCTTTTAAATGTAATAGTATGCATCCTTTAAAGAAAAAATTCCATAAAAGTAAATAAAAGTGACATCCAAAGTACAAGATATATTATTAATACAGTGCCAGTTCTTTATGCAAATACTGAATGGGTGTATGTTTTATCAATCATGTTTAAAATGGTGCAAAAATCAGGTCACAAATATAAGCTCTTTGACAAAGACAGGCACCTGATCCTTTGACTTGTGGTAGAACTTAAAGCCAAGATATTTTTTTCCATACATATAAAGTAGCTTGACTTACTATTTTACATGCTGCTATATTTTTCTCAGACATTATCATAGATACACTCAAACGTTTAAAGATAAACTTTAGTACTGGTAATGTGATGCATTGTGAAAGAAAAGGTGTGGAAAGGACCAGAAACAGTTGATCATGTAGCATGTAAGTATTGGTGTGCACTGCAAGGTTCTGGAGTCATCAAAATCACAATAAATTTGACCGAGTCTTGGTAAAGTAACAAGCACTGTACACAGAAAGCTATAGATGGGACAACACACATGGTGTCGGGGCTAGTACTACCTTGATTTTCTTGTCTTTCTATGCTCATTACTCAGCCAGTATACATTTTCTTCCAAAATTGTTTGGCACATGTCATTTATTTGTAATCTTGAACATTCAGTGTAAGTTTCGTTTGATTCTGTGAGAATTAGTTTTCTTTTTTTTTCACCAGAACTGGAGTTTATCTTTAACCGTCCGGTATCCGACCGTCCATGGCACTATCCGTTTTCAATTTGACGGTTTCGTTCACACATTTTTTTTAATTTAATTTTTTAATTTGTGTTTTTATTGGAAAATAAAAAGAAATCACATTATTTACAAATAATTTACATGATTAGAAACAAAATCACTGAACAAAGAGGGAGACTTTACTGTCGGGCATGCATTGGAATAATGACTGGGTTTCCCTTTGTTTATGAAGCTAATAAATCAAGCTTTGCCGACATTATAGTCATCATAAGTCAGCCCCGACTGTTGAATGTTGAATTGCAGAGCAACAATCTACCAGATAATAATCAATTGCAAGATTGCAGATTGAGAAGTTGACTGGTAAAACTAAATTCCCAATTTCCCAATTAATCTTCCAATAAAAACACAAATTAAAAATAAAATAACAAATCGTGTAACCGAAAACCGTCCCTTTTTCATTAGCGGTTAAATGGAATTGGAAATATCTGTGATGTTACAACACTAATTGAAATATTTCTTCAGGGCTTCTCCTATTTTGCTGCTACCTACATTGTGCAATGTATGATGTAAATGCTTTATTCCATGCTTCAATTGTTACACATTTGATTGTACATATATTGTGATATATAAATTTGTTTGTACATTACATTTTATTGCAAAGTGAAATAAATTTGAATTGAAATTGGAAATTCTTACTTCAATGCTTGTTTCTCCAATTCTAGTTGCTCATTTTTGGCCTCCAGAAGTTGCATTTTATCTTGAAGCTTGTTGACCACTTTCTGATACTTCTGCTTTCTCTACAAGGTACAAATACAAAGATGACAAATTCATTACAAAATATCCACATAAACCCACTTGCATTATACTTTCATACATGCCAACATTTGAAAATCAGAAATCTGTACAAATTATGCTATTTTCAAAAAAAGAGGAACAATCCTAACTCTCCTATTCAATACTACAGACAAATTTGTACAGGAAGAGGAACACCTGCATTAAAATGATAATTATCTTCTCCCAAAAAGAGGAATGTTCCTCTTTAATCTGAACAGTTGGCATGTATGTACTTTATTAAACTGTCTTGTTTTTCATTGGTATAGAAGTAAAACATAGTGAAGTAAATGGCACTCAATCTTGTCTGCTATGTCTGCTATGTCACCTACAAAGTTTCATAAAATTATGTACCGGGTACTTCTATAAAAGCACAATTATGTATGGAGTCTACATATGGACTTCTCAGATCTTCATAGAAAAACCAATGTACATTCTGCATAATATTCTAGGCCTCTCATCAACCACTATTACAGTTATAAATTGACGACCAGTATTGCCAATTATACACCACTATAGCCACTGTGATATGGCATGGGCAGCGCGTTGCTCTTCGCAATGTGTGTGTATTTTGGACAAAGGTGTATGTTTATATTTACTTTCAAATGTATTTCTTAAATAATAATAATAATGATTTGTGATTTGTATAGCACATAATAATCACTGATGACAATCCTCTATGCGCTTTACAGTATTACATTCATACAACTTACATTATCACATACAAATTACATATTATGCCTACATTATTACATACAAATTATAGAAAATTGCAATTTTACATACAAATTACAAACTAAATTTACATCAAATGATATTCCACTACATCAAATAATAATTAATTTGAAAATATATAAGTTTTGCTTACATTGCAAGTAACTTAATTTTTCTTATTTCTAAAGGTAGAGAATTCGAAAGTACAGGAGTGGACACTGACAAGGCTATGTTGCCATACGTCTGTGTGTTAGTAGGTATAACAGAAAGAAGATATTGTGAGGATGATCTGAGGTTGCATCTTGGTGTGCACTGATGAACAAGTTCTGATATGTAGTGTGGAGAGGGGTAATTCTGAGCTTTTAAACATTTAACATACAATGAATATCTTTAAAAATACACATTTTCAACTTGTAACCAATGGAGATTAAACAATATAGGTGAAATTGGGTCTCCAGAGCGAGCGCCTGTTATGAGCCCTGCTGCTGTATTCTGGATTCTCTGAACACGATTCAATTGCTTTTGGGGTAGACCATAGAATAGAGCATTACAATTATCAACATGGGATATGATCAAGGAGTGAACAAGGATTACAATAGATTTACGATTAAGATAATGCCTAATCTGTCCAATTTCGCGAATGGCCGAGACAGCTGATTGACAAGTCTTGGTGATGTGATCTGACATTGACAGATGCCTGTCCATGATAACACCAAGGTTGAGGGCTTTTTGGACTGCAGGAATGTTAACTCCATCAACATTGACAATAAGAGAATGTAGTGTATTGGGAACAAATATAGACATAAAATATCACGTCAGTCTTAGAAGCATTGACAAGTAGCATATTCATGGTCGAGCCACGCACTCCCGCCACTCATCCTCTCCAAGCGCTATAGTTCTCCTTAGAACTATAAGTTAAGAGAGATAACCAACAGTCTTTTTCAAGACTATACCAACAGTCCTTTTCAGGACTCCTCAATCCTCCCTCTCTCTCACATGGTGCACCCGCAAGCCTACTGTATAACATGTTTTTAGTTGACCACAATATGTGACCCGGCACCACAAAACCAACAAAAAGTCGCAACCAGCGATTCTCCGTAATCAGCTAAAATGTCACTTTAGGTGAAAAAATAGATTTTTGTTTTTTTGCATTTTCTGAAAGAGTGGTCTTTTCTGTACATAGTATCAAAATTTGGAAGTCTAAAACATAGTAGAAGATGTGTTTTAAACGGTTTTTCTAGACCAGTTTTTTTTCGCACAGCCTTCGGTCTCTTCCAAAATTTGATCACTTTTCCCGAGCGAAATTATCGTAGTCCGGAAATGGTCGGTCGTTGCTAACGGGTCGTGCTACGCGGGCTGTGATTGGTCCGTTATAGCAATCAGTGCGGCGCGCCATTTTGTTTGTATCCGCTTTCACATCCGAGTTCCAGATTTGCGTTCGTCTTATATTCTCCGTTAACGACTTCGAGTAGCTTGAGTTGTTGCATTTTCAAACTTGTGATAAAGGATGAGAAAGAGTTGTTGCATTTTAAACTTGTGATACAGGATGAGAAAGAGTTGTTGCATTTTCAAACTTGTGATAAAGGATGAGAAAGAGTTGTTGCATTTTCAAACTTGTGATAAAGGATGAGAAAGAGTTGTTGCATTTTTAAACTTGTGATAAAGGATGAGAAAGAGTTGTTGCATTTTAAACTTGTGATACAGGATGAGAAAGAGTTGTTGCATTTTCAAACTTGTGATAAAGGATGAGAGAGAGTTGTTGCATTTTTAAACTTGTGATACAGGATGAGAAAGAGTTGTGACATTCCCTAAATAATTTTGTTTTCATTTCTGTGCTTCCAAATTTATTCTCCCATAAGAGTTTTGAAATCAAGTTCTTATTGTAAACACACATTCACACTCTTGATATCATCATTTTGCTTACAGCTATCATAATTCTCCCCCTTCTTTTCCCTCTCTGTCTCTCTCTCTCATTCTTTCTATTTTTCGTTATTCTATGTTGGTGTCTTTACTGTGTGTCTCCTGCCTTTCTTTATTTTTATACCACTTTCTGGCTGGTATTTATGAATTGCTTCCATTAATTATCATCAGGATGGCTACTGGAAATGAAAGAGCAAGTCATAGTAAAAATACTTTGAACCTCCTGTGAGAAAGAAAACAGTATGGGAATTAAGTATAAAGCAAGTTCATAATGTGGTTACAAATAATTGCCCAGATGTATACAAAAGAAGATAGGTGACAAGCAGTGTTTAATATGTAAGGGGGAACAAAAAGACTCCGGGTCCACCATGAATAGGCATTGTCTAGTGCAGGTGTCTCGGCACTATGTTGCAGTTCACTTTTTAATCTGTCCAATTACAACTCTATACATTTACAACATAATAACTTTTGAAAGACTTAAGTCCACACATTGAAACCTCAGAAACATAATGAACAGACTATGTTTGACCATCAGGCCAAATTTCAGCCTAATCTGAAAATCTCTTCATAGTGGTTGCTATGGCCTTTTGATTCACCCTTCTATTGATTTCCCTGTGGTTTGCTTGCTCCGCATGCTTGAATAGCCCCAAACTTTAAAGCTCTCTTTCTCACAATTTAATACCAGTAACCTCCCTCACCAGCTCTTTTCATTCACTAAATTGAAAGGGGTTAGGAAGCTTCAATTTGGACAAGTAATATACCATTTTAATGAGGAGAACTTCTTCTTTCATAATCAGATGAAATCAGGAAAATAATTTTTTGCGACTTTTTGTTGGTTTTGTGGTGCCGGGTCACATATTATGTCTTTAATGCAGGCATTGATACGACAAACAGCTACATGTATGTTCCTACTATACTTCTTGAAGGGAAAGAGAGATAAACCTGAATATCATCTGCATATATCATACAATTAAGACCATGAGCCTTGATGATATCATAACTTTTTCATATTTTGATGAGGGATGTAAATCAAATATACCATGCACTATCCTAGCGGAACTGGTAAAGTATATGGTGACTGGCATAGTGACTGTTTTCTAAAACCGTTTTCACACTGGCAAAATTTTGCTTAACCCCGTACTTTAGGTGGGGTTAAGCTTATTCCACTTTCTGTTCAGACTTGTATTTACCCAAGTGGGCTAGCCTTACCTATAGTACAAGGATAGCCGGCCCTGCAGGGCTAACAGGGCTAACCCCGCAATTGTGACGCTAACTCCTGCTAACTCCGCAAGTGCGTTGCCAAGCAAATGAATGAGAACAGAAACGAAACACAGTCTGGTACTACGCAATGGAGCGTATAGCAGCTGGCCAGATGCGAAGTAAGGAGCCCACTGTCCAATCAGAGACGACGTATTAGCACTATTATTAGCACTACCGGTGCGATAGGTCATGTGAAGCGCGCTTATTGTGCAATGTTATGAAGCGCAGCTGCAGAAAATGCCCCAATGAATATTCACAATATAGAGTTAGTCCGGGGCTAACGAATTGCAGTGAGAACAGCATGAATTTTCTTATTCCAGAATAGGTGCTAGTACGGGACTAAAAACGGCGTGTGTGAAAAGCCAAAAAAGTTAGACCGGGGTAAAGGATAGTATGGGGCTAAGCAAAGTACAGGGTTAAGCAAAACCAGTGTGAAAAGAGTATAAGTGCTAAGCCAGTCATCTCAGAGAATCCATAATGTAAGCCTGAACCTCTCAGTGCATGGTATATATCATTACTATGTCAAGGGCTATAGGAGAAAATACTTCCTGGGTAATTGACCTTTTGAGAGCAGAATGAAAGCATAAATGCATTGAGTTAAAACAGAAGTCATAATAGGAAGATGTGCTGTGCTGCATATTGCAGAGCTGCCAACCTTGTGCGACCAAAAACAGGAACCATGATGGCAACAAAAAAGGAATTTCAGGAAGAAAAAAAGGAACTCATTAAAACAAAACTTACAAACAGGCACGACACACTTCCAATGCAGAAATGTCCATTCCTCATGCTGTTTTTTACATACAAGCAAGTATTTTTTTTTTGGGGGGGGGGGGGTTATTTTGGTATTATCGGCATTTCATTCTTTTTAAGAATATTTTTCTCTTTAAGTATGTTTTTAAGTATGTTCTAAACTTAGATTTCTATTTAATTTGTGATCAAATCAACATTTTAGAGCAGTTGATTGATGTGCGGTATGTAAAAAAAAAAAAAAAAATTATGAAGAAAAAACGTACTACCGTAATTTGGAGGAAAAAAAGGGAGTAATTCCTGCAAAAACAGAATCGTTGGCAGCTCTGATATTGCCTGGATAGGAAAGGAACCGTGCACGGAATGTTGTACACAAACTAAACTACAAGAATGTGATATAAAAATTATCATTGGGTTAAAAACAATAAATACATTCATTTACCTTTGCATGTGCATTGGTTGTATCATCCCTCTGCTTGTGAGCTTGCCTTGCCTGGCCTTCCCGCTCATCTAGTCTTCGTTCCAGCTGTGTCTTCTCATCTAGCCATGTCATCTTGTGCTGGGACAGCCTCTGATTGGACAGCTCTGACTCTTTTTCCATCGCAGCCTTGGCCAAGACTAACTCATTCTGATACATCTCCAAAGATGCTGTGAGATAATAATAGATAATTTGACAGAATTCATTACAACGATTGTAAGAGCAGGTCAAAGGTATTCGGTCACTTGGTGTCCTATACCTTACCAAGTATTGTGGAGTTCTCAACATAAATTGACATCAAATGTGTCATTTCACATCATATTTGGTCTCATCTAAGCTATGGTATTACTATTAACTTAATACTCAGACTATACCATCATATGTTGGACAAAATGCCTTGGACTTGCCTACAACCGGTATTTACATGTCACCTTACCAGCTGCAAGGAACCACTAAAAGCACTTTACTAAAAGTCTGAAGTTAAGATAGACAGCTCGGCCTTTTACATTTTTTATATTTTGGCCAAAGCTAGTTCATCTCAATCGGCTACATTTTAAATACAATTTAATTAATGGACGTAATATATCACTAAAAGTAGTGGAAGAGCAGGTGACTGTACCTTTGATATTATCATTTTCCATCAGGAGTTCTTGTTCTGCTGCATGTGTATCCTGTAGCTCAGCCTTCAGCCTTGTGCACTTCTCCCTCAGCTGTGTGCTGATGGTTTGCTCGTGTTCCAGATCTTTCAACGATGTATTATGATGCTCTAATTTTGTTCTAGATTTCAAAGACGAGAAATTTAACATGATGAAAAACATTATATATTGTCACTTTCTTCAGTGCAATTCAGTTAAATCTATTGTGCGTGCACTCTGGTCTATAAGTTTTCACTTTTTGTTGTTCATGTCATATACTTGAAAATCATGAAAAAACCAAAGGCATTACAAGCTGAGTTACTCCAAGAAAATAAAAAGTAAGGTTCAAGTAGCATGTAAATTGTTGATTTAGTAATTTCCAAATTGTTCTCTAAATCACTGTGTGTATGTAGAACATCTATGTCCCTTTAATGGGATAATGCTTTAACTGAAAGGGTACTTTAACCCAAGAAAATTTCAATGCCATACATATACAGTTTATACAAGTAACATTCACTTCTAATGGGATAAAACTAAGCTAATCACCAGCTTCAAATTAAACAAGTATTAAAGGTAAAGACCAGTATTGGAAATGCCCCAATTTCAAAAAATGAAATGGAAGCTCTCATTACCAATCATGTGAAAGAATATGTTTTGACTAATACATGATGATAACAAATTTGCCGGGAAACCGCCTACTAATTCATATATTTGGTAAATTTGTTTCTCTCATGGTCTGTGAGAGATATAGGGTAGTCCCATATACATCTTTCTGTGTATAGTGCTTGTAACTTTACGAAGAATGGGCCAAATTTCTTATCATTTTGATGATTCCAGAACCTTGCAGATGCTAGATAGGTCTACTAGATGATCAACCTTTTCTGATCGATTCCACGACGTTTCTTTCACAATGCAATCGCATGACCATAACTGGTCTTTACCATTAATGGTTGAAACTATTCCCATAACTTTTTTTGTTTGGTCAAACAATATTCAAACACAAACTGTGATTTATCCATGTTTATCTACACACACGATATACGTTCATCTTTCACAGTTTATTCTAAGAGAACTTATGGAATGAGACACGAGTTTAGTAATAGGATGGTGTCATCATGAAGCTTCATCCCTCTTTCATTATCATTGTTTACTCTATTTCCTTCGGGAAGTGCACAACGGAATTTTTCCTCATGTAACACCATCTAAGAAAGAAGTAAGCTTTTACTACATCAAAGAAAGTAACATGGCACTTAATAATTTAGATGACGCCTTTATGAAATTGTGGCTACTTACTTTATAAGCTGCAGGTCTCTTTCAGCTTGTTCACATCGTTTCTCAGCTTCTCTGATTCTTTCTTGTCCGTTTTCTTTGTCTGCATATCTCTGGGATTCCTCGTCTATCTTTAGCCTCTCAAATTCCTGCAGACGACCCTCCAATTCCAACCTGAGTATCCAAATACAAAAGCCATATTCGTAATGCATTGTTTGAATTATGTGTTGGGAAAATAAAGAGTACCTCATTTCTAAAGCATTCATTTCAACACAAGACATGTTTGAATAGAATCGTATGGAAATGATAATTACGGTTATCAAATAAAAGGTCATTAAAAAAATATTTAAAATAAATCAATGCAATTCTGGGAATGTAGTCAAAGGAAATATTTGTACATTTCATTCCATCGCAATTTTAGTTTAGATTTTGGAAATGGGGGGGGGGGGGGAGGGGAGGAGTAGTCCTTGGAAATATGTGTATGCAATCTATTCCAACCTTTTCTTATTGTATTTGTTGATGTACTATGTGTTTTTTATCCTTTGTAAAAAATCCTGTGTTCCTGGAAATGAAATAGCATTAACAAAATAATAATTGTAAATAAAATCTAAATTTCTTGAAATTCCAATGGCTGGTGAATAAATGGTCCTTACTTTTCTCCTTCTAGCTTGTTGATCCTCTCCCATTCTTCTTCTCGAACTGACTGTACCTTCCTAGCCACCTCCCTCTCCTTGTCAGCAACGGCATTGGTCTGGGCATCCAGGGACTTCTCTAACACCTCGTGCTTGGCTTTCAAACCTTCAATCATTATACAGCAGAAAGAGAGTTGTACAATCATGAGTGTTAAATACATGTTTTGAGGACAATTGCTGATAACTAATATTTTTCTCTTTATCTATAAAGTGTCCTATGATAGAGGTTCTATGACATTTTATATAATTACCTTTTCCCAATTACTGAAATGTGTTGTTGAAAAATTGATCACCGGCTATGATATTTTTCGCTTTATATTTTGGTAAGACTTGCAGTATCAATAACTCAGTAAGTTTTTTCCCTATTTTTAACTGTGCATTATCAATACTAGTGTGCTCAATTCTATTTTGCAAGTTGAAAGTAAATTGCACACTGGCCTGCTTGCCCAGGATTATCTTCACTGTGTCTGTGTTTTATCAATGAAAGTCTATACCATAACATGTAGTGATTTTCATGTCATGAGTATATTGCACACCGGCTTACTGGTTCTCTTTCCAAAAACCCTGAAACATAGTGCCTCCAATAACATTTTCGGCAAAGACTCTGGATTCCAGCAATGCATACACTTTTGATCTTGAATCATGTAGTTTTTTTTGTTATAAAAACTAACTTGAATCCAATGCATACTTGCCTTCCAATTCATTGACAAGACCGTCTTTCTCCCTCTCCAACTCTCCCCCTGTCTTCATAGCGGCCATCTTAAGATCAGTGATCTCCATCTTATTTCGGTGCAGGGTCTCCTCCATGCGACTGCGTAGCTCCATGTTCTGTTTCTCCAGGTCGTGGGTCTTTGTAGTTAGACTCCGATGGGTGTCCTGAGAGAGCCCAAGCTCCTTGGTGAGCTGCTCCATGTGGAGCTGAAGTGACTCCTTCTCACTCTGGCAGACAAGCAAGAGACGTTGGCATTTAATTGTCAAGGCACAGGTTCGCTTTACATGACTCAGTTTGATAATGGACAATTCTCATTTTGTAAGACATTGTATGTTACATCTTGATTGTTGTTGTACATAACAATACAGCTGAGGAACATTGGACAAGTCTTCAAATGACCAGCAGGATAACGAGTAATAGAGTAAGAACTTGTAATGGAACATGCTAGGTAAGAGTAATAGTAGGTCCATTTCAAAGATTCTGTTATAAAGTTTTAAAAAAAGACCAAACACAAGCACTGTCTTTTGCTTCCCACCCCCTATTTTCCCTCCCTCTTTCTCCCCCTCTCTCTCTCTCTCTCTCTCTCTCTCTCTTTTCTCCTCCTCCTCCTTCTTCTCTTTTGTCACTCTCTCTAAATCTCTCTCTCGGAAATGTGAAATATTCATCTCTGTGTTGCACACAAGTACCCCCTAACATGACAATTCCCATTGATGCACACACCTGAAGCGCCTTGATGTTAGTAGCATGTTCAGATAGTTGTCTAGCTTGTAACCTTGATACATGGTCCGACTGTAGACCAGATTGCTCTCGTTGGGCTCGTATCTCATCTAACTCTGTTAGCAGGCCTATAGAAGCAAAGAAAGGATGTGATTGCAGAGGTAACATTGTAAAGGCTCTTTCACATATTGTCTGATTAAAACCAGAAGGGCGTTAACTCATGGAGCCATAAGGGTGTTAACTCATGGAGCCATAAGGGTGTTAACTCATGGAGCCATAAGGGTGTTAACTCATGGAACCATAAGGGCGTTAACTCATGGAACCATAAGGGCGTTAACTCATGGAGCCATAAGGGCGTTAACTCATGGAACCATAAGGGCGTTAACTCATGGAACCATAAGGGCGTTAACTCATGGAGCCAGAAGGGCGTTAACTCATGGAGCCATAAGGGAGTTAACTCATGGAGCCACAAGGGTGTTAACTCATGGAGCCACAAGGGTGTTAACTCATGGAGCCACAAGGGTGTTAACTCATGGAGCCACAAGGGTGTTAACTCATGGAGCCACAAGGGTGTTAACTCATGGAGTCAGAAGGGCAGTAATTCATATCATTTCACATAGAGTTAAGACCCTTCTTGCTTCAAACAGAGGATACGATGCTGTAAACTGTAGCATTTTCCCCTCTTTATAATGACGCAAGCTTGATATGACACACAGATTGTATAGTATGCGAACTACTTTTGTTGCACGCAGTTATTTGTTTCACCCTCACTTGCAGAGCCAAATAATAAAGCAAGCTTACTATACCATGATTCAATGAGGGACAAAAACACCTCACAATTGATTGAAACAGCAAAAGTAAAAATGCTTTCGATTTTAAAGAAACTATGGTAGTCAAATTACCTTAAAGTGACTCGGTAACATTGTTGAAGGTTGATGAATAAATTGCGTAATTTTTGTATGAAATGTTACTTATTATATTCCTTCTACTGTACTTACCCTCTAACATGCCAAAAATCCTGAAAAAATTCTCAAACCACAAAGATATTTACGGTTTTCTTTGAAGGTGTCACTTTGCGACACCCGCTAACAGTGATAAACAATAAATTCTCTCAACCATTTTTGAATTTTCCCAATTGTTTTTTCCATGAAAATAAGACAAAAGACAGGCTTTTAAAAATCTGCCAACAGTTAATTCATTGCTTTGTGAAGATTTAAATTCACCTAAAATGTAATTAAATTGTAATAATATGGTTGGGAGAATTAAGGAATCGATCAGATCAGTTTTTCCCAATTTTTATTGTTAATATTGGTCCGCTTTCACTCAAACTTTCAGATTATCTTTATTTGTACATCTAGCATTGAACTCACTACCTTAGCACCATTTCCTCTCATCTGAACAATGTTACAAAGTCCCTTTAAGCAAATTTGGGGAGTTTTCTACATGATAACAGCATCAAACTTTGAAAAAGAAGTCCCATATTGATGTAACCAGGGGATTATAGTTTCACATGATATCTGAGGGACATCGAGAGAGTACTCACCCTTGACCTTGAGGTTGAGTTGTGCATTGTCCCTGTATAGAGTACGGACCTTGTCACTGTCATGTGAGTTCTCCTGACTGTACTTGGCTACTATGGCCTCTTTATCCCTATGAAGATTTTTTATCTATAGATACAAGAGGATAAAATAATATACAAATAACGCACGTCCCAGAGTGCAATAGCGGTGAATGCAGTACGCGCGAGGTTTCTTTAGATTGGTGCCGCTCTGTGCAACGAGCCGCTTGCGGCGAGTTGACAGTGCGAACCATCTGAAGAAACCGAGCGTTTACTGCATTTACGTTTTGCACAACAGGGTCAAGTGCGTTATTTGTTTTATAAAATAGCGACACAAATAGCAAAAACGAAACTTTAGATCTAATAAGTTAGAGTCTACGAGAGTTCTATCTAGATCTAACTGTTATGTTGGTTCTACTTCTAATTAGACTCAGACCTTGCAGGCTTACCAAAAAGTCAATGGGATTCATTGCCTTGATTAAAAATAAAATCCATACAGTGGGTCTAGAGACGAGTCTACATCAGACAGCTGAAATTCCTGGCTTCATTATAAAATCCAAAAGTCAAAACAGGCCTAAATCCAAGGCAAAAGTAAAATAAAAATTTGCTTTTTAATAATACCCCGCTGGCCGCTCTAGCTAGCTAGCTAGAGCTAGCTACGCGTACGTTGCGCTGGGGATCATGGTGGAGCGTACAATATTAGCTACGCGTAGCCTACAATAATTGCAATGCAACTCGAGGGAGCGCGTACTACACGTACGCGCGCGCACTGGATCTCCATGGTCACGCGTACGCACCGTGCAATATAACTTTTTACTGCGCTTTTTCTGCACTCATTTCTGCAAAATCGTGCTTGCATCAAAATTTTTTCAATGCCATGTGACGCGTATTGACCAATCACGATGCTTAAAATACTAGAGCCATTTTATAAAGACAGAATAATACAACATATACATTAGATAGACGACATGTAGTTATTATCAATTACGATTGTGTTGGTGTTATTTCTTATGGTTATTTCTATAACCAATAAAGGAACGATACACTTTAATATAAAAAAGCAACCAGAGGACCTACATACTGTACATCTCACATGCACAATTTCGCCCACCCACACTATAAGACCCAAATCACCAAAACTCATTCCTGCCACGTGCTATCCATCAAGTAGTGGAATGGACTCCTCAAGGACGTCATTGAGGCCAATACCATCAAGACTTTAGTGTCAAGGTTCTCACAATTGGGAAAAATAGCCAATCAGCAAGGTATGTATTCCAATTATTTGTTTGTTTACAAATCTGTTTTACTAACCCTCAACAAGATAAGTTATTTAATTAAAAAACAAACCAAACTACTGAAATGTGCAGTGGTGACCTCCATAAAAGTGACAAAATAACCAGCTCGTTGATTGCAGTTGCTCATCAGGAAGAAGAAGCTTTAAGCTCTATTCAAAGGACTTAGTGATAAAGGATTAATGCCTTACCAAAGGGCATAAATACATCAATTAAGCTTCAAACCAAGACCGCCTTGTTTCCATGTTCTACCCTACCACTGAGCCATCACATGTTCAATCAAAAAAGCCATTTAATCTTAATATAAGTAGTAATTTTGTCTTTTTTATGTTCAACAATTACAACAATAAACAACAACAACAAACAAAAACAACAACAAATTCAGTGTACTATGATACTATTCTGGGATTTTGCCACGTACAAAGAGTACATTTCTAAGCGTACATATGGAATTAAATATTCTGATATGTACAGAAATCCAAGGGAAAATATCCTTTTGAAAATATATCCTCATATGATATCATACCTCTGTTTCATACTGCATTTTAATCTCCTCCACAACTCTCTTATGCTCTGCCTGCTCGTGTTCATACTCTGACTTAATGAATGAATTTTCATAACGCAGCTTGTTAAATTCAGTCCTGTAATGCTCCACATCTTGTTCCAGCTGGGTAAAACGTTCTCGAAATGGCTGCTCAAGATCTTCAGCTATTTTCAGTTTGATCAGCTCCAACTTGTCTAGTGTTAGAGCCTAGAAAGAAGTGGGGTAAAAAAAAAGCACTGAAAATTACCTACTTCACCATGGCACCTCGCACTGATGCACTGCACATTATCATCCCTGGGGGTGTTTCAAGATCCTAAGTTCAACTTATCTTTAAGTTGGACTGAACAGTTACGGAAAGCCGTTAGCATCTTTGCAAATATTTTGTAAAATATAATATCAGAGGCATAAAATGTTGATTCAAATTATTCATATTTTCTATTATCAAGGAGATTTTATGTTCTTGATGTGGAATTTATGAAAAGTCTACGATACTTGAATTTCTGCTTTTTAACATATTTCATTTTAAGGCTACAAATGGCTCTCCATAATTTTTAAGTCCAACGTAGAGTTGTTCTACTTAGGATCTTTGTGAAACACCCCCTGGATAACTTCTAGGAGCTGCTGAAAGGGATTATCATTTCGTGGTTTAAGAGTCAAGGAGAGATGACATTAAGGGGAAAATAACTTCTCTCTTGATGTTCGGAACTAACATCTTTTGGCAAGATATTAATCTGTATTTGTCTCTCTCCATCCAGATGATGTAAATGGGTACCCAGTAGATATAAGTTCCTTGAATGCCAGAGCACCTTATCAAGGTAGCTCGGCTAAAGCCAGGGTTTAAATAATAGAGTAAAAAGAAACATTAGTACTAAGTGCTATGTAAATGTTACCATCGCTATGTTACTATTATTATGTGCAAAAACATATTCAAGTTAAATTTTCATGTTCAGGTTCAATTTATTCAATTCCAATAAAAGCATGTTACATTCAAGTCATTCCTTTACAATCTGATAAACAGGAATACAGAGCAGACTTTGCAAATGATTATACAAAATGTACATGGTATCAAGAATGCTACCAAAGACCAAAGCAGTCTTGTCGTAAGAATTCATTCAAATGAGTTTCTTTAATTCTACAGGATAAACTGAAAGAAATCATGTTTAAGCATTTGAGGTTTAATATTACCCCCACCCCCCCCCCCAAAAAAAAAAAAAAATCTAGACTCACTGTTTTTCATGTCACAAAGGTTATGGTTTATCAGTAACTCCTTTTCAGCTTACCTGTGCCCTGAATTCTTCAAGTTCAGCACATTTGATTGCCAATTCCCTGTTGATTTTGTTGACTCCTTCCTGAAGCCTTTCCTCCATGACCTGACAATCTGCTGTAACTTGCTCAAGTTCCCTCTGCAATCTGCTATTTTCATCCTGTAATCTAAAGTGTTTGAAATGAATAATAATTTTTGAAAATAAAAGAGAACGGTATCACTATTATATATAGGATTTAAGAAGTGTGAACATTATTCAAATTATTTAGCAAATGATGTTATTGGAATAGATGTAAAGAGTAGATTTTTAAGCACTTTGTCAAAATGTAATTTTTAAACCATGTACCCGTGTAGGCTAACACTGAAAAGAATTTGTTTTGACAAAGGATCTAAGCAATTAAGAATAAATAAAGGTACCATCTGTAAACTCACTTTGTGTGTTCAGCCTTGATCATCTGATAATTTGTCTTGTGCATCTCTCCTCTCATCCTCTCATCAGTCAACATCTTCTGCAGTTCCGTCTCCTGGTTCAAGTGAGTAACGGGTCTCTGGTCCAGGCCCTGGCTCAGGCCCAATCCAGACGGTTGGCCAAGACCCAAGCCCAGGCCTGTGAACTGTCCCATGGTATCAGTAGACGTGAGAAGGGGTAGTCCATTTGAAGACGGGCCTATGAAACCTGGTCCTAGACTGGTTCCTCCAGGGAAAGCCATGGTGCTACATAAATGTTTGTAATAAAAGCTTGGATAGTTAATCCGTCATATAATGGGTACCTGATATGCTTGAGCGCTAGTTACTTTGGCAGCTTGGCTACAACCATGAGCGTCAGAGCCTGGCGGATACTGGCGCTATATAAATATCCATATTATTACAAGTAGTATAACATACACGTAGTCTATAAATACATGTACATGTATTTGAGTTCCTCCAGCAATTCAATGACTTGAGATTAAAAGACTCCACAGGCCCTTTGATAAGTGAACTAGGGCCTCTTGCAAAATAGTTGTGTTAAAACACTTGTTAAAAATCAAACACAAGAATTAATTTATTGGTTGAAAATCAAGTTGCATTTATGATTATATGATATGTTTTGATCAGTTACAGTTTTTATATTGATCAGTTATCAATTATTTATATAACTTATACATTTTTTTTTATCAATTACTTTTTACAATTATATTCTCATCCTTCATTTCTCATTCAATACAATACTCAGTTAATGACTCACAGATTACATCAATATCAATATTTATGGGGAAGCCTGCCAGACCGGCAGAGCCGGCTTTTATTCGAGTTGTATCTTCTTGAACAATCTTGTTACATAATGCCATATAATAAATGTTTTGAACATCAGATGAATTGATCTGCTTTAATCTGAGACCTGTATGGGGCTTTCCCTTTTTGCCCCATGCTCGGACCGATTCCCTAGGTTGAAAAAAACAGAGATAAACTAAAGAAGGCAAATGCTCTGGAAAAACCTAGCATGGCAAATCATCCAAATAAAAATTATCTACTATATCTTTATACCATCAACAAAACACCAAACTATTGTTCTTTCTTAAAATTTTCAATTGAAATTTGTGTCATGGATCTGGTGTCTCCCAAAGCTAGGATGACTACCACACCCATTTTCCTCTCTATTATGCCTTTCTGAACATTCTTGGAATCCTTTCCCTCTCAATTCAATACAATAACATTCACCTGCCTAAGTTATTAAGACCATCCCGCCTTGCGGGATCGTGGCCTCTCACCCCACCGCTATTACGTAATCATTAAAAGGATCCGCATAGGTCTAGTAGAGGTCTATACAACATTTTCCTGCTAGGGCCTACCGTATACGTTGTACCGTAGGAAAATACAATTATAGCCTAGTCTAGAGAGTAGAGTGGTGGAGATGTGAAATGCAGGTCTGGAATAATGTATGGTAGACTCAAGGTCTAGTCTCTATATCTGAAAATTGCATTCATTTATTGTTTTAACACACAAAAATGACAAAATGTTAAAAAACAGTTTACCTCTCACGACATGCACAAAGCTAAACTAAAAGCAAGCAAAGCTCTAATCTCTCTGGTAATGATTAATCCTGGTACTTAACTCTGGTACGGAGAATTACCTAACAAAGTCATAGAAGACAAGCGCGTAGCCAGGATTTCATTTTAGGGGGGGGCGGTAGTGAGCACGCGAAGCGTGCGAATCACTTAAAGAGCGCGCAAAGCGCGCTCCCTAGGGGGGTGGGTGCAGGGAGGGGGGAGTTTCCCCCCTCCCGCGCGAAGCGCGGAAGCTTTGAAAGAAGACGATTCGTTGTACCTTTCTCGACTCATAATCCTTGTCTGAATTCAGTCCCTCCCCTCTCTCGCGCGAAGCTTTGACGTTTCATTAAATTATTAGAGAAAGAAGACGATTCGTTGTACCTATCTCGACTCTTAATCCTTATCTGTATTCAGTCCCTCCCCTCTCTCACGCGAAGGTTTGACGTTTCATTAAATTATTAGAGAAAGAAGGCGATTCGTTGTACCTTTCTCGACTCTTAATCCTTGTCTGAATTCTGTTCCCCCCCCCCCCCTCTCGCGCGAAGCTTTGACGTTTCATTAAATTATTAGAAAAAGAAGACGATTCGTTGTACCTTTCCCGACTCATATTTCTTAGTTTGAACTCAGTTTCCCCCTTCCCGCGCGAAGCGCGGAAGCTTTGACGATTCATTGTACCGTTCTCGACTCCTTTTCCCTTTTTCTTCCTAGATCTACGTCCTCTTTCTTTTTTTTCTTCTCTTTCTCTTTCTTTTTTTTTTGGCCGGCGTTTTGGGGGGGCGACTGCCCCCACCGCCCCCCCTGGCTACGCGCCTGATAGAAGATAACGTAAAAGTTACCGATACACAATCGTCAATACCAATTTCAGGTTTTCAGAATACCGCCCCAAGTACACAACCTGGCCGGCCTTTCTGCTGTCGAGCTGTCAGCTGTCGAGCTGTTCCGACACCCTCAACTACCGGCTACCGTAGCGGTGGCGGTACCGTACGATTTAGTCGAAAAGACCCGAAATAACCCTTGAAACTGTCGATTCGGGATATTATGTAAAATTTAAAAATGATTGTAAAATATATATCACTTACACATTCATCTACATATCAGTTCATGAAGGTATCCCCGGTACGGTCCGGAAAACACAGGACGGCGATATTTAACGTCTTCTTTGTGTCACTAGTCTTACCGTCTACAATTCAAACAATCTAGCTGAATGGGGAGCACGCATGCGCAAATGAAGATGAGCTCGAAATATGTTTATTTTAATGTTTATGTTTATGTTTTATTGACTTAATCGCCCACGTGGGGGTATTGTGAGTAAACAACACAAATAACGATGGTGACAAGATCGCAATTTTAAGAATTTGCCGACAACAGTAATCTCGAAATAGTAGAATAATAGTAACTTTAAAAAAATGAAAAATTAATGATAACAAGCACAGTTATCAGCTTGGTCACTGGCAGCCAAACTTTGAGATATAAGGTCAATAATCAACATCAACAGTGCTTATATTTATGTATGGATATAGTGCATTTATGAAAAATGATAAATGCCATATCCTTTAAACATTTTAAGGTAAGGCATCGTATAATGCACACAAAAAATTAATGACTCAAAAGACACCCCGCCCATAACGTCCATAAAATAATTATTTCTAAAAAAGAAAGAATTCATATGTCTTATTAATTCTTTAAGTTACTGCTAATTTAATTGCTATATATCTCAATATTACAATTATTTGATCTATCGGCTCCCGCAACCAAACTCTTTATATTTATAATGTGCATGTAAGCAAAATCATTATGTTCATTCATATTAACAACTCATTTGTGACCGTTAAATCCATCAGCCAAAAGTTTATTATTTAAGAAAAAAAAATCTGAAAAGAGCAGATGTAATCAACTCATTGATAGAACTCAGTGTCAGAAATACTTGATGGGTACTGAGAAACCCTATTCCATTGCAGAAGACTGGAAGTAAAGTCCATTGGATTTTGTATAGTATGTTTATATTTAGTTATTTCTAACATAATAGTTGAATCAGATCTTGGCATTGGTACCAAATTAATCAAATAGATATTTTGTGTTTAAGTTGCTAATTAAAGAACAACGTTGCAAACCTAAAAATCGCTGCCCTGCTGGACTGGTAAAGTATAATTATAACAAATCCAAGTTTATACACACTTGGAAACTTTCAATAATACTTTTGTAATGCCTGTTTGTGCTGGTTTTCAAAATACAGGGCGTTTAAGTAGAAATGAATTATTTATCATCAATTATTTTGTTTCAAAGAGCAATGTCGACACACGAGCTCTTCTCTGGGTACATTAAAGCATATTATTATCAAGCTGAGCACCTACACTGACAGAAAACATTATTTTTGCAATTAAATACTCTTCAAAGTTTGAGTATATTATGTTTTAAAACATTTTAGCATATGTATAATGGAGACTCAAAGGAGAATCGTGTTGTCAGAGAAGTTGGGGGCTCGTCTGAAGAAAGAAGAAAGTCGAAAAAGAAAAGAATAACATGAATAAAGTAAAGAAAACACTTTCTAAAAGGCCCCATTCGAATAAAATGCTTTCAAATTGATAAGAATGTATTTTATTCGTGAGAGACAGAGTCAATTTTGGGAAAGGCATCTACACGTTTACAATGGATGTGCATGGTATAAGATTTCAAATGCAACAGAAAATGAAGGAAACTGATCCAAGTACATGTAGTATCAAAAGCAGTGCCCCCCCCCCCCACTCCCTACTCAAAAAGGAAAAACTAAAATGTGATGATAAACAAAATAATAAAAGGGAAGGAAAAAGAAATTATCGCAGATTGCCAATCGTTCCCGTACCCCCCCCCCCGGTTGAACTTTATTGATATGATAGTTCTAATTCTTTTGAGATTTGATCTAAATAAAGGAGCGAGGATGGAACTGGGCGAAAGCCCCCCCCCCCCCCCCGAAAATGTAGTTATTAGCATATTTTGTTTTACTCTAATACATGTCAAAATTTGCGCGCTCACAAACCAGGCAATAGAAAGTTTATATACATTATATACAGCAATACATTCATTAATATTTTTGGCAATACATTTCGTGATATTTGTCACTCTCTATATATCCATGTTTAAATGGCTACCCAACATGTTTCTATACAACCTGTATGAAGAAGAAAAAAATCTATTCTGGCATCAATAACTCAGAAAATTATAATTTATGAAATGTATGTACAGAGCCAAATGGAGAGGACCTCGCAACATAAAATACAATTATAAAAGTTCATAACATTCTACTTTTGGGGGGGGGGGATTTTGCTAAAAACTTTCACTGATCTGTTTCTCCCATTAATTTTGTCTGGTTCTATTAAAACAAAAACTAAATATAATAGGGTGTATTGTCACTTTATTAATTCCGAGCAAGATAATTACAGGAGAGGATTGCTAACTCACATGCCCTGCTTCCATCAACAAGTAGTGTTTATACACAGAGCTGACAATACGTATTTTCAGTTTTGTTAGTCATTCTACAAAAGATAAGAGGAAATCCAGGCTTTCCACCAGGAACAAAACTGTGCTGCAGTTGTCAGCTGATACGGAATCAGGTTCATAATGTCACCGATTGCACCAAGAGAGGCTTGTTGGTCTAGTGGCATGATTCTCGCTTTGGGTGCGAGAGGCCCCGGGTTCGATTCCCGGACAAGCCCCGCGGTAGCATTTTTGTGCCATAATAATTCATTTAAATTTCACTTACATTGACATAGTTATATCGATTTCTCGAGGCTCTTTCAATTTTTATTTTTATGTTATCAAGGGTGTTTTCAAAAGTAGGGAACATGCATACGCATACCCTAAATAACACTTGAGTGGGGGGGGGGGGGGGCACAGTGATAGGTTTGCAGAAGGGTCCATGGTTTGCCGTGGCACACTGCAATATTATATCTATTATATAGTCAGAGATGGGAAGATAGACACGGAGAGGTTTGGAGAGAGAGGGTGTCAGTCAGTTTGAGAGACAAAGGCAAGATAGAGGGTGGGTGTTCGACTTGACTAACCGGTTTTTATTTCAATTTTGAGTGATTTAATCGCTCTGTAAGAACGTGTTATAGTCTTGAGCATATTATATCTATAAGTATTATTATAGCAGAATTAAGTTCAAGTGCATATACAATTCATGCGTTTCGCTCACATAAACCTATGTCTTGACGAATATTTTGTATAGACCTACATTAACAAATATTAACATGCTTTATAAATTTAAGATAATAGTGTTTATGAATTGTATTGTAATCACGTGATCACTCCCTAATATAGGAATCCATTTAAAGCAGCTTAGACTTCAAGTCCATTGGATCTTGTTTACGTGGCCACGGATTAGAGCTAGTCTGCAAGCACAGACCCTAATTTGACATTTTATCAAAAAATCATTGTGCCTTGCGAGAAGCCTAGCCCAGCTACCTACTGTTGTTGTTGTTGTTGTTTGGTATTATCGGCGTTTCATTCTTTTTTAGAATATTTACTGGTTGTGTGAGCAGCTTTAGTACATGGCCTATGGTAGTCTTATAGTGCAGACTCTCTTTTACGACTAACCAGGGTCTGTGCTTGTAGACTAGATCAGAGCGTCCGCGCGCGTCTACCATGCGGCGTACGTACTTTGTACCGGAATCGTATCTAATGTATCTTATGTTATATTTCTTCAGATCGATCAACTAAGGTTCGTTGGTCTAGTGGCATGATTCTCGCTTAGGGTGCGAGAGGTCCCGGGTTCGACTCCCGGACGAGCCCCACGTAATTTTTTTTTTCCCCCTTCTTTTTCTCGCGTTCTGCACTCTATTTACGTATACTTTGATATTAAATCCTAATTGAGATTGATTTTAAAAATTTTTATTTACTATTATGCCATAGACTATTGTGTAACTTTGTTATTGTAACCAAATAGAAACCTATATAATAATGATAGAATTAGGTGCACAATGTCACCGTCAGGGATCAAGTAAGGCTTGTTGGTCTAGTGGCATGATTCTCGCTTTGGGTGCGAGAGGCCCCGGGTTCGATTCCCGGACAAGCCCCGTGGAAACTTTTTTTGCATTAGATGCCTTGTTATAATAATTCATTTCAACTCACATCGACAGCCACTTTGTATCGATTTCGCTTTCTCAAAGCTTTAAAGTGACTTGGTAACATCGTTGAAGGTTGATGAAAAAGCTGCATAATTTTTGTATGAAATGTTACTTATTATTTTCCTTATACTGTACTAACCTCTAACATGCAAAATATCCTGAAAACATTATCAAACCCCAAACACATTTATGGTTTTCTTTGAAGGCATCACTGTGCGACAGCCTCTAATAGTAAATTCTCCCAACCATTTTGAATTTTCCCAACCGTTTTTTCATGAAAATAAGACATAAAACAGGCTTTTTTAAATCTTTCATCACTTTAAAATTAATGTCTGGAATGGTACATCGAGCAAACTTATTGCTTTGTGGCGATTTTCATTCACCTAAAATGTAATTTTAATAATATAGATGAGAAAATTAAGGAATAAAATATTGATGAGATCATTTTCCCCAATTTGTATCATTAACATTGGTTTGTTTTCACTCAAACTTTCAGATTATCTTGTACATCTAGCATTGAAGTCACTGCCCCAGCACCGTTTTCTCTCATCTGAACAATGTTACCAAGTCCAATTTTGTTAACGATATCAATGTAATTTTATATCCTTTTTAAAGCTTATCCGCCGTAGTTTACAGGAGGGATTAGACCGCTCTGCAAGGTCACTGGACAGGTGGTTATCTCATCAACTCAGCTCTCAGTTAACATAAGAAAAAGAGGATCATGGGGGACCAATGGTCACCGATTAGGCATTGTTTGTTATATAGAGGGCGCAAGTAGCTACCAGTAGTGCAGTGGGCCTTTAATACAGCAGCTTTTAGTCATTGGTCCCTACTGGTTTAAAATTGATTTTGTTAATAATATTATTGTCAAAATTCACCTTTCATCCTTGTTCTGGGAAATAATTTATGTATACTAAATACATTATAGGGTTTTAATTTGTATACTGCCCTGTATTAATTATACTAAAGTGCTTTGTAAAATATGAGGATTTTGTATTGTGAAAGCGGGGCAAGGCGCAGTTGATAGTTTGTAGAGGTGTCTATGGTTTGCCGTGGAACTATGCAATAATTATTGGTCCTGGTCTGGAGTCGGAGAGGGGAAGAGCGGG